CTGCCCCCTGCCGCTAGTCTCGTTGTGATTAATACACACTTAATGTCCAATACAACATCACCAGTAAACATCGCCGTACTCTTCCAAAATACTCCAACAAGATAAATAACGTCCCGCACCGCGCCGCATGCAAGAGTTAGGTATAAACCGCCCCCGCTGCTTACGGTAGTGCTGCATACAGTTATGCAAACTGTGCAGGTGTTGATCTGCAGAAACGTAAACGCACACACAACCATACCTAATGAAGAGCACAACGCAAATTGTTTTGCCGCCATTACCCAACAACAAAACCTAGACATTCATAAGGTTAAATTTAATGGCTTAAAAAACACGCGCGTTAAGGTTCCCGCCAGTGAGATGATCCGCCTTTGGCGCTAGGACGGCCACCGCTGCCGCTCGGTCCCCTCTCCGACGATTCTGCTGATGGGCCACGAAGCTATGACGCTGGTGGTGACGGTGTTGTTTATCGTGACCGGAGTTGCGGGAGCAGCCGCGACGGGTGGGAAAACCGGCCTGTTCACAAAAGGTGGCGACTTGACGATGGACACCTGCGATCCAGCGCGGAGGTTTGATCTGCCGACTGCAGGCACCGTCCGCCTCGCCTGGGGTGGCGACGAGGAGTAGGCGCCTCCCTGCGACTTGATACCCGACTTCGTTGTTGCCAGATAGAACTGTTTAACGCAAGCAGCGGTCGCGAACGGGTGTAGGAGCATTCGGTTGGGCCATGCACATTTTCCAAAATGGCATTCTAGCAGATATCTATGGCCTTATTGGCAGGCCGACGTGCGACAAGCGCCCAATGTTTGTCTGCTGTTCGGCATCGTGAACGAAAACTACAAGAAAAACAATATGCGTCTCTACAGCCAACACTATTGCACCTGCCGCTCAGCCAATCAGGAGCAGTTGCATCTCGAACTCATCCATCTCAATATTTTCTCTACGACCACATAACTGTAGCATCGGCTTGCCTAGTACAATTTTGAGTTGCCCAGGCCATCCGGACAGAGCATCCAGCACACCCGGCCCAAAAGCCTCCACCTGTTTCTCCTGACGGGTCAGGTGTTGATAATGTCTTCTGGTCTTAACTTCAATCCTTGGCGGGAGTGGCCCCCAGTAGCACAAACCTTGAACGCCTGCATCGCCAAGCCCATCGCATAGAAACACCCACACGAACACGAACACACAGGAGGTACCGGGGACCAAACGAAAGGAGGGTCACAAAACGAAATGCGTCGTTTTGCGAGCAAGAATGCAATGATTGTTCCAGGAGCGAAAACCACTCCACCGCCGCTAGCTGACATTCTACTTGTGGTACAATGCGGTGCCGTGCGAGCACATGGGGGATTTAAGACTGGGACAACTGAAAGCGAGCGGGCTCTATACTTACTGACTGGTGCGGACAAGAGACTATCCGAGGGCAAATGTGCACCAGGGCAAATATCGGAACGGGTTTTGGTGCGACGATGACAACGATGACAACGAGAACAACCACAACCAGCCCGAAACATCTACTTGTGGTACATACCCATCAAGGCCAGGCGATTCAACCTCAAACGGCCAAGACCCCTTTCCACATCTCTCAATGAACGTTGGAGATTTGATTCCAGAGAGGGGGTGAAAACCTTCTCCTACATACAACTCTCGGAATGAAGATACGGTGGGTCGTGCGTTTGGTCTCAGACATAAACCATGGAGCGGAACGATCAGCACGGACGTGTGTCGCGTGTGTTCGAAACCGCCCACTCCCCTGCCCTTCGCAGTTAGCGTCGAATGACCGGGGGGTTAACGACTGACGACCATCGAGAGTACAACGCAGTAACGTGCAGAGGGCGGACCTGCCGAACTCCGAGCGACGTAGCCTATGCATGAAGGTCAGGTTCTCTGAAAGGCGTTACGCTGTTTTTTTGCAACCTCAATGCGGTCGTTGTGATTTGAGTACCGCCGGCGAGTGACGAATGGTGCCAACACAAAGTCTTCTTTGATACATATAGTTCACGGTATGTCGAGCTCCATCACGACTGTTCCACTTCGTTCGACATGTCTCCTACGATGTCTGACTTCCTGCGGCTCTTACTGCTATCACGTTTTTTGTTGATTTTCTGGGTAAATGTGTTTTCTCCTTCATTTGACATGTATGTGTACGCCTGTGGTCGCGGAAGACGTTCGGGTCTTTGGGGCAATAGTACAGATGTGAGAAAGGTACTGTGGAAACATCACAACGCGTTTTGGTGCGACGATGACCACGATAGCAACCACAACATGGAACAAGCACAACCAGCCCGAAACATCTACTTGTAGTACATAACCCTAGCCTCTGAGCTACCGTGTATCATTATTAAGCCAAACGGGTTCTTCGATTAGCAGCGGATATTCAAAGAGTAGTGGTATTCACGACTACTCCCGTTTTCAACCGATGTCTGCGTCTAAGAGCAAGAAACGCTGTGTAGCTGCCTTCACGTTCAACCTACGTTATTCACCATCCCTTTTGCCTGCTCTGCTGCTTGGTCTTCTTCATCGTCTTGACAGGCAGTCCTTTGCAGGCCTTCGTTGATATATGCTGGACGCATGGGAGGCCGCAATCTGCAGAGAGAACAAGGAGTTCCGAGAAAGTTGAGGGCAGAGCTCGTGAGAAGGTCACGCCGTGTGAAGTGAAGTGGGTTCGGGCATGTACCTTTAGCGCCCATTCCTAGTGGCTCTCCTCTTTTTTCAGCTCACATGGATATTCTGACGCCATAACGTTGTTGGACCTAAACCCTACCAGTGATGCATGTCTTGTTGGCGACTCCGAGGTACGACTGGATGTGTCTTGTACAATGTTATAGCGCAACAAAGAAACAATATAGCTTTACCAAAATCGGCATAACCATGGGCGAAACAGTGACCACAGCCAATAAGGTCTGTGGTGGAACCACCTCGGGAGAACAATTGTATACGCCGTGCAACATGTGTAGCGTTGAGTTCAATGGACAGCAGACGTGCAAGTGCGGTTTGGAATTCTCTGCCTTGCTAGCCTTTGTCTGCCTGGTACGTTGCGAGGCATTAAAAAGGCATGATAGATTCCATCGAGGGTGGTAAGGCATTCTGTGGGTCTTCTTCGCGTACAAGTGTTCGTGCCGTTGCTTGGCCGTTTGTGGTCACGAAATTAATCCCTTACCATTAATGGGTCGGGAAGAGGCGACACCGCAAAGTGACCAGAACAACCTTCAAAGTGCTGGCGGCAACGACGACAACAACAAATATTACTAACACAGCAGCAATAGCAGCGGTAACAACTATAGTATCAATACCTCTCTGCATTCCTGCTGCTGTCAGATTTTCTTCGCGCAAACATGCTTGCTGGCCCATGTACAGAACCTCCCCCACCCTTCAACCCGAAGAGCAACATTTTCCGTGGCCACAAGTTGACTCGCAATAAGGCACAAACGAAATAAACTAGACCCCGGGGAACCGGTAATTTTGGCGAAGAATGAAGAAGTATTTTGCACTGCTTGATGGAATCGCTCTCTCCGCATACCATGGTATATTTTTTTATGGCCCCATCGTTAGACTATCTCACTCACGTGTGCCTGCTTTTGGTCATGGCCCTGCCTGACAACAGTTAAAGTTCCGACGTCTTCCGCCTCCAATGTGCGCAACCTCCTCACCGTTTCCTGCACAGACAGAGATATTTCGGGGAGTGGTGTGTCGAATGAAAGGTCTCGCCACCGTTTGGTTTATCGATGGCAAGAATGTACGCCGACCTGGCAGGCAGAGGCCGGAGTGAGTGATCATTGAACAACAATACATACACATAAAATCAAGAAATAGTTTTCTCTGTCATACTGTTCATGCCACACTAATGGAAAGCGGCCCAGGAAAAATACAGGGTGGTTGGTGTGATGAACTCGAACGAACAGACAGGTGGGAGCGTTGTTACTACATTAATTGGACAAAGGAAACACCCCACCCTCCCAAACATCGTCTTGACAACTATTAGACTCAACACGTGTACATCACGTGTATCTACCGGCTAATAATATACTACAGGCTTGAGCGGTGCGGTGTCGGCTAATGCATGAGGAGCCGCAGCCTTTCTGCTACTGGTGACCTTCAGAAATGAAGATATAAATATGTATCTAGCATGCGCATGACTGCTGTGACGCGCGCCAGGCGGGGAAGAAGGAAAGAAAAACAGGCCAAAAAACATGAAACCTGCCGTTGGGTAATTTCCGAATGAATGTCGTTGAGCTGAAACAAACATGAACGAACATTCCTATCGTCTGGTTGACGATGATCAGCACCCTAATGGCGTGCCGAATTTGAGGTGCCTCTTTTACTCTCCTCCTCGTCAATCTGCATGTATCCCTTGCGTCTCTCTTCTTCTCTGCTTCTCCCTGTAGTTCAAATGGCACACGCACATCCCTAAGAACAAGCTGCAGCTGTCTGTCTGTGTGCTCACGGCAAGGAAGCATCCAACACGAAAATACCTCCACGCATCCCCACCCCTTCTACAGCGGTGCCTTCCCCTCGTCCCCTTGGCTTTGACGTGAGAAAATCACAATGAGTTGGTCGAAGCCCTCTCACCTCTTTTGCAGAGGCGCACAGTAGAAGGCGCCAAGTCCCCCACAGACAGCAACAACCCACCTACATTTTATCCGGTTCGGCCCCGATCTCTCTCCATTCCACTCGTGTGTCGGTCGTCCATACGCTAGCGTGAAGTTGAGGAAGAAAAAGTGCGGGAAAACACTGGATCGCACCACCGGATCTCGTGCATCCACGCAGTGAACGAGAACATAGAACACACAGGCAGGGTGTGTGTACGTGTGTGAAAGAGATTGCTTGTGGATGCAAGGCAAGTAGAGCGCTGATGTGGTGATGGTGGAGCTGTGTGTGGCGCTGTGTGTGCTGTGCGCGGTGTGCAGCAGCGGAGGCACTCTTTGCGACGAAGCCCCCCCTGTCCTTCTATCTACTATAAAAAGCTGAGCCCCCATTTTCGTAGATCTGTCGAAAGTTATTACGCCGCATGGCAACCCGGTCCTGGCTCCTTGGCTCCTTGGCTGCTTCGCTCCTGGCTGTCCGGCTGTTGTGCTATGCTGGTTAATCGGGTATTCTTGCCGACCCTGTTAGCAGTAGCCAGTGCTGGTGCTTTCGTGGTCCCGTACCCTCGAATGACTGAAATGATGACAGAGTCGAGCCGGTCCAGCGGGCATCAAGCAGCAGGTCCTGCCGAAGATGCAGGTGGCGCCGTCAAAGCGCAAGGGATCGGCCTTGAAGGACTGGGTGCGGTAGCCTCGCAGTACGATGCCTTTCTCATAGGTGAGTAGGGACCTTGGGGAACCGCGCATTACCGCTCAAATAGAAGGCAACCAGCAGACAAGTGGGGACAGCAGTATAGATTCTGCCACAACCTCGCGCATCGGTTGAGCATGCATGTGACTACGCTGCGTGTACACCGACACCGATACCACAGCAGTCTCCTGCAGGTTACACAGCGTTGACTTTCAAGCGTAAGCACCTATGATCTACTGCCAAATGTGACCACATGTTCCGATCACATTAGCCCTGACCAATGGGAAAGTCGACAGGCTACGCGGTCGTGTTGAGCACGTGCTTCTTTGCAGGATACATGTACTATTGATCGATCGCAATCATTTGTCGGTTTGTCGGCTGTGTTGAACGAGGTGTGCTTCAATCGTGTACATACTGTAGCTGCATCGACTGCGATTATGTAGTCTAAACCATGTGTGTGTACAATCAAGTGGAGTATTGCCCGCGCTAATTTACAGACAAGGACAATACTGTCTGAGTATGTTTTTAGTGAGTAGCATCAACCACGTGGTTAGACTAGGGTGTTCTTCAGGAGCACAGACCGCGCTAACGCGCTCCGAAGAGGAAAGACATGACGTGGTCGTACTGCGGATTAATCAAAGTGAACAGCACGTGCTTGTGTGAATTGGCGTCAACCGCGCTAGCCAACCGACAATATAATGACGCAAGTCTTACGTCCCCAACATGGGGAAGAGATTGGACGAAGGGGTCCAGCGTCCGGACGCAAGAGCGCTTGCCCAAGGACAGGAAAGACACAACAGCGCCACCAACCTTTCCTCCAGGATACCTGCTGCTGTGCGAGCTTGGTGACCCAGCAGGAAATCGCTTTCTCTGGGATTTCTCATATCTTTGTTGGGCGCTTCACTGGCTTTACAATGTTGATTCAGCGAGTTTCTACTGGACTCCGTCCGCTCTGTAGTGGTACGCTCTAAGGACGAAATATCCCTACGTTGAACCGTTGTCGATGGTTCATGAGAAGCGCTTTGTACGTGCAGCTGTAGTTTTCATCGAGTACGCTAACCGGCTGGCCAATGGAAAGAGGTCAGCCTTTTAGCGGGTGACAGTCAAAGTCTCCCGGGGGGGGAACTCTCTCTTCTCTCTCCCTCCCTCCCTCTCTCTCTCTCTCTCTCTCTCTCTCTCTCTCTCTCTCTCCCCTCCACCAAAGACGCCCAGTCCTTCCCACCCCTGGGACTTTAATGCTTTGTCCATGCTGCGGTGTTGTGGTGGTCCACAATGACAACAATGGCAGTAACGTTGCATTCCGTACCTTTGCCGCCACTCCTATCCATGACATTTCTACTATATATGACGCAGACCAGTGGGGTGTCATGCACGACGGGAAGACGCCATACCCAGGCGCCGTGGACTGCATCGATCGCTTAAGCAAAGCGGGCAAGAAAATTGTAAGTGTCCTGCTGCTTCCCCGCCATGAGACGCAATCACGGCGAAGTCCGTTTTCGAGACAGGTACAACACCGCATTGGGTACGTACGCTAGGTGCAACGTATAATACCGTATCGGTGAAATACCGATCGGCAGAAACACTTGCGTTGAGCCATGCGAGTCGTCTGTTTCATGCTTGGGCGTTTTCTTGGACCCCCGGCAACATTGAACGTAGTGGTGGCTGCAACACCGCAGATAGTACACACACAACCCGTGAACAAGTTGACTCGCGTCACCGTGACGACAGGTCCTGTTGAGCAATTCCTCCAAGCGGAAAGGGGCCGCGTTGCGCAATCTGGAAAGGATGGGATTCTCCACGGTGAGCGGGATAGACGACGAGATAGCCGACTGCGGTAGGTACTTCTGTTCGTGCGTGGACTAAGTTGTGGCATCGCTGTGCATACCTAGATATCGCTTCTCTCTCAGGCGATATTTGCAGGAGGCTGAGCAGCTGCTTGGTATTTACTCACAGCGTTGGTATGCGCGAACCATGTGTTGAAGGTCATATATGAAGCAGCCTGATGTCATCTCTTTTATCATTGCTTGTGCTGCGATCGAAAGTCGTCGATTTCGAGCCTGCTTTCTAGCACGCCAGCAGTCCATGCGAAAAACGCAAGTCAAGCGCAGGCCGTCGAAGTACATCGGAGGTCCAACAGAACTGAAATGCTATTTAGGTAGATGAGGGTTCAGCAGCTGGCCGTTCACAGCACTGGTCTGCATTTCCGGAGTATGAGTTGAGCGAAACGCGCGGTTTCGTTGCCGTTGACTCGTCGGCGGTAGTGTCCAATACCAACTGGTATGGTGTGTTGCGCCGGTGGTACGCTTTTGGGAGCTCTCTCGAAGTTGGTACTCTACGACGTCGCCTTTCTTTCGCCACGATCATGGCCTTGCCTTCCGTGCCTCAGGGTTCTATTCTAGACGTGGTGACAAGTGGACAGATTGCGTGGGATGGGCTGCAGGACCGAGTGGATGAGCCGTTCAAGTCTCTCGGGGCAAAGTGCCTCGTGTTCGGCAACGGCGACGATGACCTAGAGGTGCGTACAGTATGTGTGCATGTTTTCATCATCCGTCAGTCGTCATTTTCCGCTACACAACAAACAAAGTCCTGCACGTCCTTCAAACAAGGGGGCACGCGGACGAAGTTGCGAAGATAGCCGTCGTCTCCTCCTGCACAGTCCCCACTTTCGCAAAACTTACATTGGAGTATGTATGTGCGGGACGCGGAGATGGAGCTTGAAACTCCCCCGTTTGCTGGTTGCTCTAGGTTAGCGGTGACTTTTGCAACGGGTCTCATCTCCCCGACGTTAATTGAGGGCGATTCCCTCTTGCCACATGGGCAGTATGTTCGTGGTATCTTCACAAATTCTGGCCCGGGGTCCCCCTGATGTCTGTGCCCAGCTCTCGTGATTTATGCCCGGTTACGACGGTCGTGAATTTTGCGCACACAACCTACCACATTTTTTACCACCGGTTTGGTTTTCACTCTCTTCATTGTTGAGTTTAAAACATGTACGGTCCATCTCGAATAATGTTTGTACGGCCAGTATGTGTCCAGCTGCGGCTGTACGTTGGCGGAGGTTCAAGACGCCGACTTCATCCTCGCCAGGTGAACGAGCAGAACTGTCTACGGGCAAAATTTATAGGAAATACCTGGCATCGCTCATACCCCAATGGGACCCGGCGATGGCTGCAGAGTATGAGTTGGTTGCTGTGATACGCGTCAAGCGGTTCGGAGGTCCGTGTTTCAAAGCTCAGGTTTCCAGTTTCTGCTGAACACCCCGGTGAACCTCGGCCCGCAGCCTATGTGCCTGTACGTTCGGGGTTCATCTGCCAGACGTGCCCTCTGGTTGATGTTTGTTGTCCTTCCCGCGCAAAACAAAGAGGGATGGGGTTGTTTTTCCCGTTGAACAGTCATTCTGGAAATCTCGATGTGAGTTTCTCCACGTTCTTGGCGCCATGCGAAAGAAATCCTGTGTGGCGATCAATCGCGAAGCACACGGCAGTCTGTTGTATGCTCAAAAGTAAAACGGCTTGATCCGCGTGAGTTTTTTCAAGCAGGACTTCCCCTTTGCCCGTGCCTGTGCACCAGGGGATCTTTCGTAGTGGCCGACTCCAACGGGACTAGGCGCTATACCCCTACGGTCATGACCGGGGAAGGCAAGGAGGAGACACACAAAGCGATGCGGCTCATGCTGGAGAGAGGGGCACCCATGCTAGTCACTAACCCAGGTCTGGTTTCATGTGCGACACGTGCTTAACGCCGCTGCCACTGATGTTACCCTACCAAGTTGATAAATAGTGGCTCGCCCTCCCTGAGTGAGTGATGCTGAGCATACGTACATACGTATCGTGCTGATCAATAGAGCGACTTTAGTACAGCACAGGAGTAGTGAAACGTGAGCGCTAAACTAGTTGGAGCGTTTCCATTCGCTGCGTGGCTGGTAAGGAGGTCCAGCACCGCAAGGACGCAGTCTATAGCAAACAGTACATAACAAATGTTGTGAGTCTTGGCCGAAAAATAAATGGTAACAAGTCTTTGGAACTTCACGGAGAAAACTTAACAGTGTACACGGCGTAAGTGTCAAACTCATACGCACGGTCTCGACTCAGGTGTTCTGTGCTTCAGTAGGCCTACGTGTTTCACGTTGACTGCCGACACTCCAAGTGCTGTTCTGGGTGTCCGCTAATCCCCAACGGTACGCAGATTTTCTGCGGCCTGGCACAAACGATCCAATGCCGGGGTTGATCGGAAAGGCCTACGCCGAGATGGGTGGCACGGTGCACTACATCGGCAAGCCACACCCAGCGGTGTACCAGGCGTGCTTCCATGCTCTCGCTACCGCCAAGGTGAGAGAGACGAATGCTATGTAAGCACTTCGACATCGCGACTAAACCAACAGGGTTTGGGGGGCGAGGCGATCGATCAGCAGGATCTTCATGCATGAAACTCGCGGTGGAATCCCATTGTCTTACCGTCTGATCTGTTTTTTGTCGAGTTCTGGTGCGCGCAAAGCAAAGGGGGTGACGGTGGAGAGGGAGCTAAAAATACTGCGCGACGTCCCGGCCCTTTTCGTGCTGAACTCGATAACCGAGGAAGAGTTGCGAACGCCCTGCACTTTCAAGCCATTTTATTTGCTCCTTTCGATCACGCGCGACAGTAAAAGGTCAATGGCGCCACAATCCATCAAACCCCTCCCACCCCCCCCCTGGTCCCATTTTCAGGAGAGTGCGCCCCCCCCCGATGCTCCGACCAGGGCTAAGATTGTTGCGGTGGGAGACTCTCTCCCGCATGATATCCTCGGGGCGCTTCGGGCACAACTAGCTTCCGTTTTCGTGGCAGGAGGGGTGCATTTCGACGAGTTGAGGGTGGAGCAGGGGGGTGCGGGTGTTCCTAGCGACGAGGCGTATTCGGCGGCGTTTTCGAAGCACTTGGAAGGGGAGGGCACGCCAACGCACGTCATGCCGGCCTTTCGGTGGTGAAATGAAACAACACCGTGCAATACACGAGGTCGGTGTTTGAGTAGGAGCTACGCCCACCTGCACTTGATTTATGCAGCCGCCCCTGATTGTCCAAGTCAATTCTGGGCCTGTACTGTTAGCGTAGCGGGGAGAACTCAGGATTGACTGTTCATGGTTGTGTGTGTAAATGCAATGGTTTGAGCGCTACACGCGCGGTTGACATTGTTTCTCGAGGAAGTGGAAACAACAAAGGTTTCCCTATAAAGGGTGGATGATTTCTTGCTATCGTTTGTATACGGTATCACCATTAACGGAGGTATCGAAAGTAGAGTTTGTTGCTGGTCGTGGCGGTATCCCTATGGAGGACACGAAATCGAGCAGCAATCTGCGTTGTACGGGCAAATAGGGGTGACTCCCGTCTCAAGCACAAATTTCTCAATTTAGTTTTTCAGTATGGCTACAACAATCGCAGCAAGCTTGTAAACTACTTCGGAAGTATGCAGAACAGGACGCTTTCGTCGCAGATATTATCCATTTAAGACACATAATAATGTTGGGATCATACAAGAGAAACCAATTCATCCACGAACCGTCCTTTCTCTCCCGTGGCACAATGTGCCACTTGAATCTCTATTCATACAGCAGAACTTCCAATTTATACAAAGCTACAGAAATAAAATGGGGGCACAGGGGGCAAGAAGGATATACGCATCGGTTGACACAAGTTGCTCAACCGGAGCTCCGTCACATCAGATGCACAACGCGAACGCACGTGCAAATTAATACCATCGCTTTTCTACCAGCAGCCAAGGGGTGTCTCGTGTGTAGCCTTATACCCCTAAACTGACGATCCCAGACCCAGAAGGCGGTGGCAGCGGAGAAATGGCCCTCATGAACATTTTGGGTCGGCGGCACGCATAGAATGTATGGGGGACAAACGCAGTATGGTCAAAATCGTTCGCTCTCTCCGATGCCGTCATGTCACCATCCCGCTGCTGCTGCTGCTGCTGCTGCACCACCAATCATCCCATCCTGGCTCCGAGGAGTGCTCCAGCTACAAATCCAGATCCCGTGGGCAGGTTGTACGACAGCACCTGCGGTACGGCAACAGCAGCAAGGCAGCGCACGTCATCGGGCATCGGTAGAAAACATGCGCGTTCACTCGTCTGTGACCAGAAACCGGCCGCCACGAGCGAAGGAACCAAACCAGAATCATACCGACACGTGCACAAACACTCAAGAGTATACAGGGGACGGGCGGGGGGGGCTTGGTAGAACACAGGAAAACAAAACAGGTGCAGAACCTCGATCGACACGACGCAAGTCTGCAAGTGTACGGAACAGGATCAGAACTATCTGCAGAAAAACGATGTTCGCGTCTAGACGCGTCAATCCTGTCCCTCCATGGTGCGAAAAGACTTCAGCTGCTGTTCTGTTGCCACGGTATTCGAGACAAAGCACTTTTGCTTTCGCGATCTTACGTGTCGATCGGTATCCAAGCCTACGACGCGCATTCTACGTGTTGTCAAAATTCACCTTCATGGTGCGGTTCCACAATTCTTGTATATCGTCGGTGTCGACCTTGCCGTTTTTGTCGAGGTCCAACGAGTTCATTACCTCGTCCTCGATCTTCGTGTAGTCAAGCTCGATGTACCCCATGTAGCTCAGCAACTTAGCCATGGATCGGATTTGGTTGCAGAGGCAGCAGAGAGGTTGCAGGTAGGGGTCGGTTAGACCGTGCAACTAAAAACCGAGAGAGCAGGGTAGGCGAGGGTCGCAACATAATCACGAATCCCAGTAACTCTGGGCTTTGCATTTGATGACGGGTCACCGCGTGATGAAATTAGAAATTATTGATAGTACTCTTGAAGGGCTCTGTGACACCACCACTTAGAGTCGGAGCCAGTTGCACCTTTGCCCGTGCGAAGGGAATGAAGCCAACGACGTCACTCACGTACGCAATATTGATCTAGAATACTTCGGTAAATTAAGCCAATTGAATCACCTGGAGAGAGCCGAAGGCCAGGCCAGCACCCACTAGCGCCACCTTGGCTGTCTGAAAACGCCATCACCCCCCGTCACCAACCAGAGGCATCAAACCCACCATGAGCAGTAGCAGTGGCAGCAGAAAGTGGAGGGAGAATGACGATGGCTGTCACGATGAAGACGAAATATTTTGGGTCCGTGATGGCGGAGGATGCAACACCTAAAACACAAAACAAACGAGAGCTTTGGCATCGAAACACCAGGTTCAGTGTGGTCATTCGATTTTAACGTAGCTATAATAGAACCGCTGGGTGCGGTTCGGCTTGCGGTGCTTCAGGAGGTTGGTGCCATCGCCACTGCCGTCATCACGACTACAGCGCCATTCCTTCGGTGCACCAATCAGCGTGTAGAACACACTCGCAAAATTGCCATACAAAGTCCCCACCTTCTTCGCTGCAAACCCGCAGCAGACGCCCATCCCGAACCCGAAAGAAATCTGTGCAGGAGCACCAGATTCCATTAGCCTGCGGAACGGTAGAATCAACATGACACGTCAGGACGACGAATGTGGCATCGGTGACAGACGTGAGCTGCAGGACATTCACAAAGGGTGTTTTGAGAGCGATTCTACGAGAAAATTTAGCACGTGCATAGCAAGAAACGACGGGGGGGGATTGCACCGTGTTTACTCCTAGAGTATGATATCTCCTAGCAACTGGGATGACGTTCGCTAACAACAGCGCCAGACCTCAAAATAGCCGCATCAGTAATCGCTAACAATGCCGAGACCATGGAACCATGAAGGGGCTCCGTGGATGAGACGGAGAGAAATCCTTCATGGATAGAGAAGAGTCTAAAAAGAGTCTACTCGCGACAAGCCTAACACTCGAGTGAAGCACTCGAAGGAACAACAGTTTTTTACGACTCGACACCGGCTGATCACACCCCGGCCGGGGGGACCGCCACCACTGCCTTGGTGCCCGAAACAGCGGCGAAGGAGCTCATATGCTGTGGTACGACCGTGGAGATCTGCAGCCTCCCTACGCTCGCTCTTTAGCGGGTTTTCACACGCGCCAGTTGGGAGCAAATAATAAGGCCAGCTTGGTTCATCATTGCGCTGCTTTTTGCTAAAGCACTGGGCCAGGACGGGGACATGGCGACACTGTTGCGGGGAGCGGAGCACCGCGGGCAGGGGCCAGTTCGAGCTTAACGCGCGAACTGAGCCCGTGTGTCCCTAGGCGAGGCGAACGACCCCCAACAGGACTGACTTCGTAAAGGAAACGGACTACTATTACTACCCGCCGGCTGCACGAGTTACTTCTCCGTCTCCCCCACGAAGTCATGTAGGAGGTCGATCACCTCGCCTACGAAAGCACGGGCCTCGATTGCTCCGTTCTGCTCTCACTGAGCCCCGCTCCTGGTGCTCCGCTCCCCGCAAGAGTGTCGCCTCACCCTATTATAGTGCCTTCACAATAGGCAAGTGCCTACAGAAACACGTGCATGTCTATGTATCGGTAGTGTGATGCAGGGACATAGTGTAGGGCTCCCGCCATCAAGTGTCTGTACTGCGGCGTACCGTCTGCATAAACCGTCTCACTTGTTGAGCCGCTTCCGCACGACGTCGCCGAGGGGCTCCGGTTCATCGCGCCCGTTTTTTCGCTTCACGGCACCGTCCACGGCTTTTGTGACGTCACTCTGGCACAGCGAGAGTTAGGAGGTGTCACAGCGAGAATAAGGGGAATGTTAAGATGGGCAGCGGGGCAGTGACATCAACCTGCACGACAGACGGCCAAGTAACCGTGTGTAGCACTGCTCAAGGCAACAAGGAGCTGTCTAGACAGCTGCTCATCACGGTCGTGGACCAATACAGTCGGGGGCACCATCAGTAGTGGAGGTTGCGTAGTGCATGTACCTGCCGTAGCGCCGCCGAAATCATGTGACACAGAAAGAGAAAAAAGTCGTTCCGAACTCTGAATCGAGCAATGCCGGCGTGTTGGCCGGGCACAGAGCGGCACTATCTACTGAGGGCTTGACTTTACCGTGTATTGGTTGCTTCATGCAGGGCACATCAAACACGTTGTGTCTCGCTCAAAACAATATATGGTGGTCTGCGGGTGCTATAACCGCAATATAAAGGTTACAGGGGTGCCACAAGTTCAGAGGAGGGGAAAAAAACGGATGACACGACTCACTCCAAACCCGTTGACAGCAGCGACGAGGTCTTGCACAAGCTTCTTGGTGTTCTCCACGTCGTCATTTTCTCGCTTCCCGTTTCTCTTTCTGTCCGCGTCGTCATCGTCGTGGCGTCTGCCCCAGCACATCACCGTTTGTTGCTGCACACAACGACAATCAACCAACACAGGGAAACAAGAGGCAACGCACTCTTTTGAAGGCAGCAAGGTAGTAGGAAAAAGACGAGCAGCGGAGCTACAAGGTGTATGGCAACAAACACAACAGGTGAACGCCATTTAGAAACACGGGAGTGCGAAATACTCCTAGTGCACATGCCAGGTTTCTCGACCAAACTCACAGGCATGAGGAGGGTAACGGCCAAGGTTGAGGCGGCAGATGTTGCAAACAGCCTCGCGCCACTCATGGCAATAGAGCCACTACCGAAGGTGCTGGGACTGAAGGCACTGACGGTGCTCGCACTGCTCGCTCCAAGTGTAGCCAAAGCTGACAGGAGTACCGCCGTCGACCTCGACGAGCTTGCACCTTCGAACCACCGCGCCAACGAACGGGCCCGCAAGAATCCAACGTACAGCAGTATGTATGATGAGCGGGTTAAAAGTTGAAAGTACATGGCAATTGTGGTGCCATAATCATTGATGTCAAACTAACAGCAACCGATATCAACCCGCGAGGAGAAGACGTCCTCCAGTCTCATTCAGTGCTGCGTACAGCAGTGAGCCGCGGGCATATTCTACGCTGGAGAATGGGTTTGAAGTTGGGCTTGATCGCGTCTTCGCGATACACTACTGGCTGCTGGCTGCTGGCGCGTACACACAATTCCGCGACGAACATATTGGTTTGCGGTGTCAGCAAGAGTTCAATCGGAAGGTGTGGCCAAACGTCCAGCTAACGCTGAGAGAGACCTCCTCTCGTTGAACGGAAATAAGGACTTTTTCTGTGTGTATTATCTGAATAAAATATCGCAACGGTTACACCTATGTAACAGCTTTAGCTAAAAAACACACCAGGTTCGCCAACTGCAGCTTGAGAGCTTTAGCGGGTTGGTCCATCTGGACTTGCGTTGAAGCCACGCGAATACGCTGGCACATTAGAGGTTGAGTAAGAGCTCTACGGCTGTTCGCTGCCGTAGAAGGCCTGCTACGCTACGTGGAGCCAAAGAGGTCAGGCCCTCCCACGAAATTTGACACTGCCGATACGTACAATTCCGCCGACTTTTCTTGCGTGGTATGCAGCTGGCGAAAGCAAGCGCCCAAGGTACTGACCAGGTGACTTTCTCGTTTAGGTTTTCATGTAGCTGCATCTGTTGAGCTCATACTTAACAAGCATTGCTTTGCTGGATAGGGCAGAACTCTAGCTGTGGTACATGTGTCGGCACGTCATCGTGCTGTGATATCGGCAATGAGTAAGGGGGCCATCAGTCATCAGCAACTTGACCATCACAAGGGGGCCAGCGCGACCAACCTCAACATGCCTTTTCACATTGCATGCAGCATGTACATCTACCTATCTGCAACAGGCGTACGAGCGAAGGATTCTGTGACGCAAACCGAACCACCTAAGATGAACGAGGGTACGCCAAACCTCGAGTCGCCGCCACACCGTCCACAGCAGCAGAGGTGCCAATCGTACGAGGAGACATTCCACGGAACTTGCTTCGACAGACCGTTCTCCCTCGTCGAGATGACATCGACGACAACCTCGCTGCCGACCCCGATCTGATGGCGTGCATCCTCACAGAGGATTGAATGCGGAACACCTCTAGCGTCTCTAGCCCTTGTGTGGGTGCTCTTTTTGCCCTTCTCCCTCCTACGTCTCGGTGTTCGTTGCCGCTGCTGTCGGTCGTGGTTGACGGCACGAGCAAACAAAGCGCCTTGGAGCAAAGAGGCCCCGTGAATCGAAGAACCAATTTCTAACCTGCCTCTTGGACTGCTGTGAATGAGATGAGCTGTCACGCACCGGTTGGCTGGGCACTAGTGGGCACCCAGCACTTGCCAAGCAAGTGCGCTCCATACTGTGCCGCTGTGCAGCTGTGCAAAGAGGCAAAGGCTGAAACAATCGAGAAAACCATGGCATCCGGTCCGTCTTGGATGCAACGAGATCAACTGCAAGGCGAGGGACTGTGAGTTCCATGGATGGGCGTTAGTGTCGACGTTCGAAGCTCGAAGTTGGTTTGGTGCTTGGTTCAACGATCGAAGTACCAGTAGACGTAGACTGCATATGTATGCCCCCGTCACCAGCAATGTCCTGTTGGCGGCAGAGATGAAACCAGGAAGAGGTGCGATGCTGGCCATGAACTTCTTCACGAGGACAGGGAGGCTCTGTCAACGTTCTTTGCGTTCTCAAATAAGCCGTGCCACGCAGAAGTGCATCAACGAGGTTACGCCGCATCGAAAGTGTCCCAAGTTCCAAGTGTTTCATGTTGTGCAGTAGTTCACGTTTTACACGAGCTCGCGGTTGTGTCCGTCCTCTCTTCATGGTAGTGCAGACCTTTTGCGCTTACAGCCCAAACCTGGTTTGGTGCATTGTTTTCCTCGGCCCATTTTGTATCATGTTGTGTGACGTGCTCGTCCTGATACTGATGATCAAATACCGTTCCAGTCAAAATAGCTGCGGGCATGTGCAGGGTTGCAAGAGCTTTGCACACGAAACCTCTGCAACTTCCAAATACACTCTTGCGTGACGGGCACACGCCATCGTGTGCATAGCTCCCCAACTTGCCTCCGAGAAGCTCAAAGCAGTAGTGGAGCCTAAAGCCTCGAGGATTTGATTGCAAACGTGTCTTTGTGAGGCTGGCACCGCGCGCCGACGGGAAGTGATCTGGATTCCAACCGCCGTTTCCAGACCTCCCTGGTTCCTGGGGGGTGACGATTACGTCCCCGTTCCAAAGGGAAAATTAACCGTAGCACTGGTCGTAGGCATGGTACCCAACATCACGATTATTTGTTATTATACTACCAGCTCCATGGGGTAACCCGTGCTCTAGTGGGTTAGTCATACCAGTTGATCCTACAAGAGCCACTGCGGTTCCCAGCTTTTTTTTTATACTTGTCTTCATGTACGAACGAACCTGCGGGGACACCGCCAGGCAGCAGCATCCTAGCGTCACGTACCGTAAGGAATTTCACGCACGCTTGGAACTTGTCTTGCTTCCTATGCATATCCTACCGTATACTCCGAAAATTTTTTGAATCAGGGCTCATTCTCCGTCTTGCAGTTGTCGTTTTACAGTTGTCGTTTGCGGCGTATTCTACCAGTGGATGCACGCCTCTGCCGATACTGCCATGAAAAACTGCTATTTGTATATCTCGACAACGTTCGCGCGAACTCGTGCTGCTTGCTTGTACGACACAGTACGGCAACGGATGGAGGCATTGGCGCTGATGGCACGAACGAACCAAACGCAAGCTACGGCGCAATCAAGGCAGAGATGACGGACACGTGAGTGGAGCTGGCCGCCAATGCTGTACTCGAATCGCATGCGCAGCCCGTTGTCGGCGTCGTTGCCACCCCGCCGGCAAAATGGCACCACGATTGATGGCATGTGGTTTCGGTACAATGTGTTAGACACAGCAAATGGTTGGATTCCGTTCGTATGGTTTCGGAAGAGGTAGTTTCCATCCCGTACTTTTGATCCCCATTTGACCACGTATTTCACTCTATCCCCGTTTGTTTTTGGTCGGCTGCAAGGCTGTCGAAAGCCAACACCAGCGGCAGTGTATTTATGCATACATTCTTCGACCAGAAAAACGCGCTCGCAGTTTAAAAAATGTCGGTGTTGCTTTCTGTTGGGCAGAGCCACCATCAACCACCACGGGTGCAGCCATTAGTGCGGTATCGAAACCGTTTTTCTAGCGCTATACGGGAATAGTTTGTCCGATCTACTGCTGTACATCGCACATCGAAGCCAGGGTCGGAGAAAGTGTTTTTGTTATTTCACTGTTCCTGTCGAACCTAGTAACTACCATGGCAACTGATTTGCGAAGGCACGGCGGTAGCGTGTCACGGAGTCCTCTCACTACATACAACGTGTTCTCCACATCGGTATTCTACAATACCAGCGATGTTGCAGTATCCTGGCGTTTGTCTTGTTCTTACGATCGCTCCCTGTTGCGTGTGCTCTACCTTTCGGTCTCCTCTGCCAAGCAACGCGGTGCGGTTCGGATTTCGGGTGGCATCCCTGGCGCTGGGGTTGATGATGATCATCGCCGCCTTTACGGAGGTACAGTATGTGAAGGAAAAACAGTTAGCATCCGCGCTTAATAGCCTGGGACGTCAGAAATTCAGGCTCAAAACATAGGACCTTTAAGAACTTGGCCATAGAAGAAAACTGCTCAGTCAAGAATCCCAACCTTGAATCTGTTAGTTGCTTGGAAACCTGCGAGTACTGTAAGATATTCAGGCTCAAAGCATAGGAACTCTATGAACTACAATACGCCATAGTAACACGTGCTCAGGCAAGCAGCCCACAATAAAAATCTTATATTATGATATAGTCGCTGTTGGGGTACAGTACCCCATATAGGAAATAACAAAGGAGCCTCGGCCGAAAAAAGTATTTCTCAAGGGCGGGCGCAAAACTGTGCGTTGGCTGGTGGTAGCTCATCGTGCTTGTTGCTGGAGATTTCACGGCTGTTGTTGTAGTACGGGCATCATGCAGTCGTCCGCGAGACTAAGTCGGGGTACCGTGTTCGTTCTGCACGGTGTTCTGTTTGTCTCATCGTCATCATGTCTTCCACATTACACCACCACACACAGATTGGTTGGCATTTTCCCGTTGACGTCGCGTCTGTCTTCTCGTGGTGCCCCCTTGCTCATCGCTGGCGACACTAACGTCGTCTCCTCTCGAAACATGACGCTTAATCACGGTGGACAACGTACGATGGTTCCCAGCTGTGGAACCTGTCGTCTTTCACGACATTCTTCATCGCTCTGTACAATCTCCTCTTCGCCGGTGTGCTGATTCTTCACGAGAGCCAGGTGAGTCAATTGTTGCATACGCTGAGCACGATGGACCGTGGTACAAGTAGAGAAGAAGAAAATTGGGATTTCACGTGAGTCGAGTAAGTGAGGAGATGAGAAGTCGAGAAAGGAGCTGAGGTTGGCATGTCATGGGAGTCATCCAATACAGAATACCCAGGTGTTGTCATCCCAATATACTGGCGTCGTCAACACCAAATGTGTAGCCAAATGGTTGGTTTGTTGTGTGGTAGCTTGTTTTCTTCGGGCAGATGTTCCGTTGAGGCCACATCAGGAAGTAGTCTTGAATTGTTCTTTTTTGTACGACTCGTGAATGACATGACCACCCGTCCGTGTTGACGTGACTGACGGCGGGCGCTTCGATTGGCCAACACTTCCACTGGATATCGATGCTACCCTTCACAGGGGTTAATTATGTGCGACGGGGTGGACTACACCATGCGAAGATATTTCGGGCTGGTCTACGGCCACATGGGCAGGTATGGCAGGGTTAGTCTAGTCAAGGATTGGACGAGCGGGGCTGTTTGGGATTTCCGGCGACCATCTGCGCAGGTAGACTGACACTTACCGCGCGCACACGTGTTCTCCCGAGTTTTATGATTGGTTCATCTGCTCAAGCGGGTGATCTCGTTAGACACTGTGAGCGACATTCCGGTGTTGAACGTGCCACGCCACAATCGTGCCCCAATGCGACACAGCAGTTTTGGAAATGCGTGGTATTGTGTTCAAGCGTCTGGCGCCACTGGTGACAGGACGAAGCCAAGACCAATAACCGTTATTCTTGCGGCTTTCGCGTCTGCTTTTGTAACCCTTGCGCGAAGACATGGAGTTGGCCTCATGGCCTATGAGCTTCGTTGAATGTGCCACTCTTGATGGCCATGGAATGTGTCATGATCAAGGTCGGTCGTAGTGCGGCACCATTTCACACCTTCGCTTGTATCGTTTCGGCCTTGAATTGTCATTCTTAGCGATGCCATGCTGAATGCCCCGTCACAGCCAAAAACGATACAACAACAGCAAAGGTGTAACCTGGCATTGTATTTTCGATCTTGATCATGGCACGTTTCATGGCAATCAAAATGTCGACGGTAATCCCTGTCGTTTCACTTCTCATTGTAAGACACAAGACTCGTGCTTCTAGTGACTGATGTAACCGCATCGTGTAGGCAGATGTGCTGTTATCTGATCTCTGCGAGCCTCTCCACACGCAGAAGCGAAATGACACCAAAGGTTAGCTCACGCTACTACCACTGCAGCCTGCTGTCGCCTGCGAGAATGCTGCACTGGCAAATAATCTGATAGTGAAGACGGCAGGCAGTAAAGAAGGGGGGTCCTGCTGAAATCCCACCAAGCAGAGTGTGATCCACTTGCTCAACGACAGCCATGCAAAAATGTCTCTTGCTGAGCAAGTGCATCTTGCCGTGCCTGGCGTGCTTTGAGCAGAGCTCCGCTTCTTTCCCTGTCGATACATCGCGATGAGATTGTTTTCCCACTGTAAGGGTAGGTTTGATTCGTATCTACAATAGACGCATGTGTGCGCGGCGCGACGTAAATGTACGCTGTGTGCGTTTCTGCTTGATGTATGTTTGTTCGCTCATTTGCGTGTAGATTCAGATGCTCTGCTTTGTTTGTTCCTTGCGGCTCTGGCCGTCTGCGTTTGCCGATCTTACTGGTGCGCGTTTTGCTCTGCATTGATGACGCAGGGCTCTTTTCATCATCTTCATTGCCTTTCTCAACTTTGCCCTGACTGACGCCGGGTGGTTCGCAACATTTACGGGTCTTCTGTTGTTGTGAGTTTGTTGCAAGGACGTACGTAAACCAGCTTCCATGTTGCAGTTGCACAAGGCGCGGGAGACGAGGCCGATGCAATACGCGCCTGTTATTGACAGAAGAAGGAGCACTGCATCAATTCTGTTCCCACCGTTGGTTTGCTAGTACGAGGAAGGGTGTCTAGATCCGATCACCGTGTTGTCTGGTAGCTGGAACCCATGTTCTGAGTCTTAAGGCTTTGTACGCTTGCCTACCGCGTCATCGGGTGGTGGGTATGCTCTGTAGAGTATTGTTGTCTTCCCAATTCTTGTGTTGGCGGCGTCGTTTTGATGTTTTTCAGGACCTGCATGATGGCAAAGTTCAGCGGTTATCATGACATCAGGTTGTGTGATGGTATCATTTGACACTGCTGTGGGTGGTGCTGTGTGATAGTGTCATGTGACGCTACTGTCGCCATGGGGGGATGGATGTGCCTGCATGGCAATGGTGGATGTCTCGACGAAATGAACGCGCGTGGTGCTACTCTCAGGTTGCATGGAGGGGCGATGATTGTGGTGTTCACCAAGTACCCCCATCTGCTGGACGAAGCACCTGGACTGGGCGATCTCAAGACCACGGCACCGCCCAGACAAGACGAATATGTACGATATGTCGCTCGTCACTATCTACATAGCTCGCGCCCTCACCCGTACGCGTTCTTTATTTTTTCTTGTACCCTTACTTCGCGGTGTAGATCAAACCGCGACCGCTGTGTTTGTGCGACGGCCGCCCGAAGACTGGGTCTTCGATAGGATCTGTTCGTGAGACATCGCTATTTTTGCAACACACGTACACATGTTTCATGTTTTATCGGCATATATTTTGGCAAGTGCACGTACAAGGATCGTTTGCCTGCGGGAAAATGCGCTCCGTTCCATCGGTCGTGACATGCCGTCCAGCGATCATGCTTTTTAACGAAAGGCTTTGTGCCCCTTTGGATCACCTACCGAGTGCTGATTGTGATGTGCCACTGGTCATTGCGGCTGTGGACCGCTCTGCCCACGGTTGTACGACGTCGGATTGATTGCCGCCCTCTCTTGTCGAATCGCTTCGTTCGGCTGTCGCCTCGTTGTCCTCCCGGCTTGGCTCCCGTACATTGCTTTGTTTGTTTTCTGGCGGAAATGGTGCAGGCGCCTCCTCCGACGATGCCGTCAACAAGCCTATAAATAAGCCTGTGACCGAGGTGATGTGTAGCTGCACGGAACATCGGCAAGGAGGGGGATGCGACGCACTGCGATGGCACGGCCGCCGGCGCCGGCGCGATGCCTGCCAACAAAGGCACAGGCACGGACGGGGTTAGGGAACGGGAGCACCCACAAACCCTCGACACCGAACTGTACAGCACGGCAGGATCGACACAAACAAGCCGACGGAGTGACATGGCTCATGTCGGTATGCCCCAGTTGTGATTGACGCTGCAACGGGGCCACCGATAGCGTGGATGTCTCGCACGAATCGTGCCCAACGAACCTGGGATGCCCATGACACAGTCGGAGCAGGTCGGGGTGGCTGTACGTTTGATGATGGTTTTGGTTCAGCGGTGTAGCGAGGTTGGCGAGGGATGTTTCAGGGGTGAGCTCTGTGGCTTCGCAGGCTGCTTGCAGACGGAATGGCTGGCTCGGTGCAATGCAGGATTTTTGGGTCTTGTAGGCTCGTGGTGTATCTACGTGTTTCTATATAAATAGAGAATAGGGAGCCCAAACCTGCCGATAGGGCGAGTCGTACGCAGCAGTGTGTATGCACGGCCGTGCCATGTTTCATGCACGTACAATATCTTGCCGTTGTTTTGCCTTTGGCAGTGCAACTGCCAGAATGTGTCGCCGCTGCTTGGTTGTTGGGAATACCTAGTAAGGAAGCACGGTGTTTTTCCAAGGCAGTCATTTGTCCAGAATTTTTTTAAGACGTGATGTCTGAATACTACATATGTAGCAGAAATATTTCATACCGTTCATCAGAGAACGTTGCCTCCTCGTGTGTCTTGATCTGGCTCGTTGGGTAGTTAGCAATCTGGGTGTATACCTTTCCCCCTTGATGGGATTGTTGTGTTGTCGTCGCATCTACAAAGGTACCCCTGTGACCTGTGCAGTCGGGGCCCGGAGATGAAAAAAGGTACTCTTGGGGTCGATGCTCGATGCTCGATATCTCTCGTAGTTTGTGCCGACCACCAGCTTGCCATGTGTGTTGTTGGTTGTAACAACGAAGTTTCATGCTTTTCGGTCCTACCGATCCCTGCCGATTGTTAATTTTTTTTTCTTGAACATTCTTCCTGATTTCCCACGGAGCTTCCGTCCCACGTACTAAACGTCTCTATGTCATGTTTAGCCTCTATGCTGAGCGTCGATGGCAAGAAAGACCGTGGAGCAGAAAGCCCTTCGTTCCAGTGTAGGTGATGTGCATGGGGAGAGGGAACGCCGCAAAAAACACCACACACAGGCGCCCGCACGTGAATGGGTATAATATCCAGGAAAGGGCACCTACTACTGTTTCGCGTACCCCGTCGCTACCTAGTACATTGTATCTTACGGGGTACATTCATCTTGGTGCTTGGTGGGGATGTTTCCTCGTATCTTCTTTGTCGCTAAAAGAGCTAATAGATAAGACTACGTACGGTAGTCTTGCATAGCTGTGTTTCACGTCCGTGCCTCCTTCAACCCACGGCTACAGGTCCACGCCGGTTCCTATACTCCTAACAGAAGTTTCTTACTTGCGGGCCCTACAGCTGTATTCACACGGTACTGGTACGAGGTACGCTTCAGAAAACGTGCAAGGACCGTCTACCCCCGTGTTTGAAATCATAGGGGCCTGACAGAACTGTACATTTCAAAAATTCAAAAATTCAAAATTTCAGAACTTTCAATTTCGGTCTCGCCTCCCAAAAGTCCGCAAGACCGGTGAAATGAACATCGATGCTGATGCAGTACTGCCACTAACACCATATGCTGCCGGAATCGTATGTGTGCGGCAGGCTGGTGGATGAATTAGTGTGGTGAATGGCTGATCAAGCGGGGCTCCGTGGGTGCGAACAGAGCCAGCGAGAGAGACATTTGGGGGGGCCGCAGAGTGCAGACGAAGTGCATCTTTGGACGAAGTTGCATCTTTTGGCACGTGCGTCTGAGAACACAGCCCACACTCACTCTTGCTCTGGTCTCCTAGCAGGCGACCACGCAAACGAGGAACGTAAGCAGGTAGGTGCGTCATGTTTTCATTCGGCCAGCACGTGCGTGCGCACGTGAACAGCATCGAGGAGCGTCAAAGGCGAACGCTCTCGGATGTATCCAACTCCGCGGGCAACGCGAACAACGAGAGCAGCGGCAGGGCTGCAAGGCAACCACAGCAGCAACAGCAGGGGAAGAATAACCCAACGCTCGAGACCCAGGAAGCTTTTCTACAGGTGTGCTTGCGTGCGTGCTGCAGGGGGAGAGCAACGAATGCGGATGTTGCCCTCTCTGTTGGTTCGAGGCTTCCGCTCTGAGTGCGTACGTAAAGCTTTTGGTTGGGCGCAACGGCACAATTTGAAATCTCCTGGCAAGGTTCCACCTGCATCAAGGCGCATGGTGGTCACACAAACGAACTCGAGGTCGGGCTTATCCCCAAGCAAAGCAGTACATCGCGACATCGTCCGCTGAATTCCTAGCGCTATTGACCCCAGCATATGCCCGTGCACAATCCCAAGAACTTGCCCTGGTGAACCCAGCGTAGCAGAGAGGGGACACAGCACACAGCACACAGCCCACACAACGGCAGAAACGGCCGTTTCCATCAGCATCGTTATTTCCAGTTATTTCGTTATTTCAACCATCCCTGATGTCCGATACCCCGAAACTATGTAGCAGTCAATCCATGCGCGTCGTATGGCATGCATATTGACTGGTAGGTATATCTGACTGGTTACATCTCAAGTCCGGCCTAGCCTCGTTTCTTCTTGTAGTTCCTCTGCCTTTTTTATTTTGAAAGATTCTGTTGAAAGCGTTTATGTAGTCTTAATAGATTTGTAGTATTGTAGTAGAATGGATTCCGTACGTTGCAGAAGATACCACCTGGTCCGATTTTCAAAGCTCGAGTGCTCTGTAGCAAGAGTGACTTTTGGCAAAACTGGCGGACCACGTCGTTATTTTTGTCGATGACCCCGTGCGACTTCACTGGTTTTCATGTGTCTTCGGAATGTAGAATATATATAGGGAAACAGCAGTACATCCACATCACCCCTCTCTTTTTTTTCCGCCGAAAGTCCCTCGGTAAAGCAGACTATTGGCGCACCCTCAACCGTCGTTACATCTGTCATCCACACGTGCATCCAACGTGTTCATCTAAATATCTTTATCTCGCAATATCACCAGGCGGCGATGCCTCCGGCGACTCACATGTCGTACGAAGACTTCGAGCTCAAGCGTCGACAGCAATATTTCGAGCTTCAGCGCCGCCAGCAGGAGCTAGAGAGCCTGGTCAAGCTCCTGCAGGAGCAGAACCACCAGCTGCGAAGGGAGAACGACAGGACGCTTGAGATAGAAGAGCTGCAACGGGAGCAAAGATCCGAAAGCACGCAGGTAGCTCTGGGCCCCGACAGCACGGAAGTAGCAAGCTTGCGGAGCGAAGTAGCGACCGCGCGCGGTGAAGCTTCCAAGGCTACGGCTTCTGCCGCTACCGCTAGTCGAGCCGCAGCCAGCGCGGAGGCGGCAGCTGCTGAATGGAGGGCAGAGCTGAACGTGTTGAGAAAACAGCAGGCGGGATCGACGTCGGAGTGGAAGAGGGAGGCGGCCGTTTTGGAGCATCGGGTCGCGGCCTGGCGGCGGCACGCGCAGGAGCAAGAGCGGCAGGTCAAGGCTCTGAGAGAGCAGGTGGGGCGGTGAAAGTGGCCTGGCCTATCGAAGGTCTTGTTTTGGCCCCTGCCCACCCCCACCATGGACGAATCTTGCCCCTGAAGTGCTTTGTTGTTTCTCAGCGGGAAGTTACCGTTGCCACCCACGTGGTGTTGGAAACATCCTATCGCAAGAATAAGATTCTATTTAGCCGTAGGAACATATGAGGTGATGACCAGGCGAACGTAATCTCCAATTCTACAAGTAAAAACTCGCAGCCTTTTTTTCCGAGACGTACTACAACGCTTCGTTTGTCATGTTGTAGCCTGGTTCCTGTCTCATTGTCATTTTTTTGTCTCAGCAACAAGTCCGACGGATTATAGATGTATGGATACAGAAGTTAGATGGCTACATATCGCAGGATTGAGTCAATTGCTTCGATCAACCCGAAAGGAGATGGGCGGAAATAGTTTACGCCGTCCTCGATAAAAGCCATCCAACTGTTGGCTAGGTGCCGACTCATGTCGGTGCAGGCTCTCACTTTGGTGTCTTTGTGTCGCGATGCCCCGTTGCTTACATTTCGTCGCCGAAAATGTATCTCGTCCGTGTGCAACTGGTTGTGATTGGTTCTTTCATTACTTCGTTTTTGCCCTCAACTGCAGCTGGTCGGTAGTAGTAGCGCTCACAGCGCGTGCGGGGGAGGGGTGATTCGTTTCGAAAAGCAACAACGACGCTGCTGCTGACTGCCTGTCGAATCGTCCGTGGCTGACACACAAACAGCTGGCACACTCCGAGCAGCAGCGGCGACGGCAACAGCAGCAGCAGCAGCAGCAGCAGCAGCAGCAGCAGCAGCAGCAGCAGCAACAGCAGCAACAGCAGCAACAGCGGCAGCAGCAGCGGTACAGCACTCAGGGATGTGATCGAGAGAGGCAGAGAGCACGAGAGAGAGAGGGCGTTGCCACGGCGGACGCTATTGTGAAGGAAGTCGTGCTCAACCGGTTTTTCGGGGGTAGCGTGAAACCAGCAACGGACGCGCAGGAGTGCTTCTTCGGGGGTAGGGTAAAGGTTAAGAAGACAGCGACGGGCAAGGGGGAGGCAGAGAGACTCAGGGCAGCTAAGAAACCGGTGGCGGAGGTGGTGACTCTAAGGAAGGAGGCGGAGCGTAAGGTGGGTGAAGGGTAAAGGTTGGGTGCGTGTTTCGGTGAGGTCGTATAGCACGGTTGAAGAGATGCATCATCGGGGCGGGAACGGAACGGTGTTTCTTGGGGGCGAGGGCGTGCGCTCCTGGTGCTGCTTCTGGTGCTGCTGCCTCCGATTCCGACATTGGTTTTGTTTTATCACAAGAATAACATGCGGGGACAAGCTCGCAGCTAGTGGTTCGCCGTTTTTTGGAGAAGACGGATGTGTATCTGATTGCTTCCGTTGCTTGTTGGCTTTGTGTTACAACCGTGATTTTGATGGAGCCCTCCAATCTTTCTCCCCTCCCTTCCACCAAACAGCCAACACTTCGACTACGGTTGCCGAAAGATTCCCCCATGAACGCAATAACTCGCATTGTAGTTATGGTCACAGCGATGTGTGCTATTTTTGTAGTATGTCTCGAAGGATTTTTCCTCGCGATTGTGTCACCTCGTAGCAACCCACCTGCGTGATTTTTTGTGCTCTTTGTTGCTTTAATTTGTTTGATAGAGTATTTTATTAGTGTGATGTTGATGCGCTATCAATATCTTGCTGCTCGTTGTCGTGATGTGTACAACTATTTGCCCCCCGGGGGGGGGGGTTCCCGAATAATATGCCCCGGTCTCCCCCTTCAGTCCTCCTCCGGAGGTTGAATTTCGCAAAAGACAAGAAGATAAATCCGTTCTCCGGGGGATGACGAATGGGATGGGATGATGGGATGGGGATTACCGTATTCTGTGACCATGGTGGAGGTACTGCGATGAGCTGAGGATAGCTTCACATCTGTGAGTACCTCAGCCTCACTGCTGTCTTGTGCTCTGCTTTGGTTTGGTTTACAGGCGGTGCCGTTTGAGGATCGCGTCGAGGAGCTGGAGAAGGAGCTGTCAGAATCACGCCGGGTACGTAGACACACAGAGAGAAATAGGCAGAGAGAGGGAGGGAGAGAGAGAGAGAGATAGAGATATTGTAGGGAGGAAAGGGACGAGAGAGAGACAGAGACAGAGAGGGAGGGAGAGAGAGAGACACACACACACACAGACAGAGAGACAGAGATCCTGGTGGCTGGATGGATTGTGTCCGAACAATGAGTTTTGTTCTGTGGCTGCCGTCTCGTACTGGTATGCGCGGTTTTAGGATAACTGCTGTTGTTCGACGACGCCAAATCAGCGGAGTCACAGTGGCAGTCGGCAAGTACCGGCTCAGTTGTCTTTCCCGTAATAAACCACGGGAGATTCATTGACCGCCTGTTCATACATGTGCCGAAGGCCCTTGGGTGAGGGTGGGATGGTTTTGAACAAACAATCACAACGACCACAGCGACAATAACGGCACGTTCAAGAGACGGAGTATGTTCAGACTGTACTTGTGGTACGTTTCTCGCGTGTTTCTCTCCCGGCAGGTCTTGAAGCGATCAGATTCAGCAGCGTCCATTTCGACTGCTTTGTCCGCTGTGTCGTCTTCGACGAGCAATGACGGGGGGGAGGGCGAGGGCGAGAGCGAACACGAGAGCGAGGTAGAGGTACGTACCAGACCGATGTTGGCGACATGCCCTCATGTTTCCGCTCTGGACAGACAGTACCAAAGGTGTGCCGCAGTTCTAGCTATTATGGTATCATTCGTAAGAGTATCGCTTCCAGGTGGTATTTGGTGGGGTACCGCAGAATTATTACCCGTCGGGACGGGGTAGGTTATATGATATATATAAGTCGGTATACGTCCAGCGATAGCGATTGCTTGACTGCCGCTTTCTATCATGTGCAAAAATATTCGATGGTATGTGTTACGGGCTACGGTGTTGCTTGGCATTGTCTTGCTAAAGGCTACGAGATTCGTGTACGTGTCCTTCGTGACGAGGTGGGAAGGGAAGGCAGCCGACAGCAAATGCTCTACAGCTCTTTCTTGTCTCCCAAATTTTGGCTTTTTCGCTGCTTCCCCTGCTGCACTGCCACTGCCACGTGCTATCTTGGTTGACAGTACGACTTATCTCGAACATGCACGATCGTTTCGCTTCGAACGCCTGCCTCTTGTTGTCATGCCTCCACGCCCCATTCCTATTGTATGTTGATTGGTTTTGTCGGGGGTGGTCTTAACGGGCAGCTTACATAAAATGACGTCACTCCCACTGGGTACTGATGTTGGTGTTCATATTGTCCTCCCCTCTCGTCTACGTGTGCGTTTGTGCATGCATAGGAGGATGTCACGGACACGGACAAACACAAGGACAAGCTGGTGGAGACGATGACCCTGCTCAAAGACGCCGAGAAGGCAATACGAATGGTAAGGGACGATGGCATGCCATGATTTCATGATTTCTCAACATGTAAGGGCGTCTGTCGTCCACCGGACATGACTATTAGCTTGATCTTGTGGGTATGACGAACACAGTGGACTTCACCCAGGGTACCTCGTTCCACCTTGTAGGTTTAGTTTTGTTCCTCCTCGCTCGTTTTTCGTTCCTCCCTTCCTCCCTTCCTTCGTGTGTCCTTCCGTCTTGCACTGTTCCTAATATGTTCTGTATTATGTCCAAACAAAACCAAATAAATCGAACCGATTCAGGCACGGGGCGAGCTTGTCGGCAAGAGCGAGCGCTGCAAGCAACAGGTTGGAGAGGTGAGAACATTTGGAGCACAAACGCCGTGTGTATCGTGTATGTATCACGAGGTTTCCCCCCCGAATGGGATCGTGAGAGCACAGCAGTGCCATCAAGGGGTGACACAAGATGAACATGGTGGTAGCACAGGCGCCGTGCGCTGCATGTTTTTTGTTATGAGAGGGCCGACGATACGGTACACTGCTTGCAGTTGTTCCGGGGCCTACGCGTTGGTGGCAACTATGCTACTGAAGAGCTACATCACTTTATTGGAGCGCGGGCCGTGCTTGCTGTGAGTTTCGGATCAAATAGTCGAGCGTAGTTATTCCGGCGGCGGCGTAGTTGCGAAAGCTGCCAGTTGATTGTTGTTTGTTTCAAGCGTAGTTTCTCGTTCAGCCTCGGTCTGCCTCTAATTTTTTGGCCGTACAACCACCGGCCATTCGTGTACGAGAGAACCTCAACATCAATGTATGGCCTTGCGTTATTTCCCTCTACTGCTGTTGTATGTGTGTGCGTGTGTTTACCTGTAGGCGGGGTCCTACAACCCCGTCTCACGTTTCCACCAGTCCTGCTATCACGCGACGTTTGGGGTATCTCACCCTTCTCCCATCGTCATCACCACACGTGGCCTCATGCGCACTTTGTTGTTGATGTTCTTCTTTCCAACTGCAACCGCAGGATGCTGTGTCGTTTTGCGAGGCCAATATCACCAACGCAACCGGCGGCTTGGACCACCAGCCCGGCTGCAGCGCCCCCGCTACGGGCGTGGAATGTGGCAAGGCGAGGCCGCTGGTCAGTGGCCTCGAGGAAGGGGCGGGGGAGGGCAGCGCCATGGAGGCGATGGCGACAACCGCAGACAAGTCTGGTGGGGAAGGGGAAGGGGAAGGGCAGGACATGTCGGCCAAGGTCGCGAAGATGCAGGCAGAGGTGCGTGCGCCTGGTTTTGGATTGGCTGCTTTATTGCTGTAAGCGTTGTGTTCTTAGTTTTGTGTCGCACGTGATGATGACACAATATATTAGTGATTAATCGTGTAGAGCATCTATTTACCCGCTCGGCGGGCGCGAACTATCGGCGAAGCCGCAACGATGTAGATGTCATCGGCAGGCCTGCCCGACGTTGCTTGCACGCATGTCAAGCCTTCGTCAAGGTTCTGTGTATAGCCGTGAGGTTTCATCCTGTTTGTGACCCATGGTTTGGGTGCACGTCGAGATGTGATGTTGTGGGTCGACCAAGGTGTCGCTTCAGGTGTTGTCTGCGTTGTTGTGAGTACGATGTGTTGGCAGCTACATGTAGCTCGTGTCGACGGACGAAGGCAGCCGCGTGCGAGAACAGGTGGCTGTGGTGCTTGGTCCGTGAGCACTGCTATCGCTTCAAAGCTGCACCTGTACTGTAACTAGGCACGTCAGAAGCCCCGAACACCCAAAGATTTTGCTCATCATGCTCTCTTGTCTTTACCTCCAATATTCCCGTCGGGGCGACTTAGCCAATAATCCACAAGCGCACAGGATGGTCGGCCCAATGAGATATATCATCCTGAGAAGGATCAAGAATGAGACAGACAGACAGACCTAACCAACACAACGCACGTATGCTGCGCTTTGGACGAATGTTCGCGGTGTGAGCACAGCTGGATGGCCTGCACGCGGTGCTAGACAACCTGTCGGCCGAGAGGGCGGCCGCCGCGCTTGGGGGAGCCGTGGCTGGGAGGGAAAGGGAAGCCAACGGAGTGGACCTGTCGGGCAAGATTGAAGCGATGCAAGCAGAGGTACAGCAGTAGGCAAGGTTGTTGGTCTCGACCCGATCTCCCGGACAATTTTATCACAAACCGACATCTCTTGGGTGTTTCGTGCCAAGGTATATTAAACACGTTTGTTGAGGGGTGATCTCCGGAGAAGAGAAGTTGGCTTTGTTTGTTGGTGTGTTTTGTTTTCATTTGTGCGTGTTTTGTGTGAAATGAGCAAGCGAACCACACCTCTATGTAGACTCCAGGCTCTGATAGTCGTGCCTGCGGACCTGCTGCTGACGTGTGGTCCTGCCTCCCATGTCTGGCACCCGAATCGCCCGATTGCAGTGAATCAGGCCTCTGATTTTGATCTGCAGGCTCTAAAATTGCCTTCCCCCAGAAATTTGTTGTCGACGTGTACGTGCAACACACTGATCGTGTCCATCTCTTTTGATTTCATGCAAGTACTCGGGTCTGGACAAATTTCCGTACAGTACACAGTTAGGCGTAACGGCTGCGGGGCACGCAGATAGTACTTCCTTCCGCGGTCCACCCACGCCTATGCCAAGTCATGCCCATAGCTCGTAGTATCGCACCACATCGCAGCGTGCGTTTGGTTTCGTCCCCCGCGACACTTCCGTCTGCTGTGCGTGTCTCTGGTGCTCGCTTGCTATCAATAAGTTGGACAAGGTGCTCCTGATATTAAGGAGGGAAGGCGTGTCTGGCGAGAGGGATGCTGCCCTCGAGGACCCCGGACCCGGTGGTGGTGCAGCGCAGGGTGCCTTCAACGATAGACCGACGAAGGGTTACGCCAGGGAGACCGCCACCGGTTCGGGGAAGCAGAAACAGAGCCAGGGAGAGGTGAAGGTGCTGAGAAGCTGCCACAAGCGGCGGGACCAGGTAAGGCGACCTTGTGTTGGCGTGCTTTTGTTGTAATGGCGGGGTGATCTCTTATGTTTCCGCGTTCTTGTTTTTTGTTTCGTGAAGGGGGAGGGTTGATGAGATGAGGGAGTGTTACGCTTCCGCGGAGAGGCTTTGCTGTGGCCAGCTACCCACCTCAGTTGAATGTGGACGGGAAGGGGCTGGTCTCCGTTCATCTCGTTGCAGAGAGGGATGTAGCTATTGCTCGAGTCGATCGTTGGTCGAACGACCGAGTAAAGACGGCATTCCGTTCTCAAGCCAATCTCTCGAACCTGAGTATTTCGTTGGACTGGCTTCGCGGGGGTTTTACTTTTAAAATATGTGTATGTATTAGAGAGGGGTGTTTCGTATCCTTACCCCTATCGTTAACCCCCACCCCGTAGCCCCCATTAAATCCAAGCTTGGTACCTCGCGAAGTCTACTGATTTCTATTCCCCGTTGTGGTTGTCCCATTTTCACGCAGGTGAGACCGGAGAGGCGGGAGGGTCGAGGGGAGAGCGAGGAAAGGATATCGATGGCGGCCCACTTCGGCTACCCCAGCTGTATATACCAGCCCTTCTTATGAGCCCACTCACTCTATGTTGGCTCCTGCGTTGGTGTTGTTGTTGTGGGAGGGCCGGTGCCTGGCTGGACGTTGCGGCTGCTTGTGGGGGCTATTGTAGTCCCCGCCTGCTGTCGAGGGTAGGCGTGTGCTGTGTAGTTATTTCTGTGCTGCGAGAAATCCACGGGTGTTAGGAATGGGAGACAGGAGCCTTAGCAAGGTGTGCTGCAACGTGTACTTGCTCCGAGTGTCAGTCCTTTCAGCAGGGCAGGGATGCGATTTCATCTGTAAAACTTTGTTGTGAGTGAGTGTTGTTGGAAGCGTAGTGGCAGAAGCGAGAGGGGGGAAAGGAGCGGAGAACGTGGGAGAAAGGAAATAAATCTCTCCGGCATTTGTAACTGAAAGAAAACAATCACTAATTTAGACGAAAGAGGTGTTATGTTTTGGTCAGGAGAGGGGAGCAGGCATATTACACGCTACCGTATCCGCAACTGATTGGCCGGAGAAACTTCGTCCCCATCGGGCAGGGGGGAAAGCCCCTAATAGTGTACATAATACATTTCCGCCGTACGACGTTGGTGTGATTATGGTACAGTTCGGTCGCGTGATATCGTGATCACGAATGGATTTGTTTAGGAACACAGGTGATTTCATTGGTGGAGATAGACGCGTTTAGAAGGACTTTTCTGGGTGTACTTTTGTGTTGGACTGTGGTTGCGGAAGATGTTCCGCGTCAAATTACTCAGGTGGTTGGACGTCAGTAAGACAAACACGCAGCGATTGATTTGTAGGGCTGGTTGTTTGGACCACGGACAAATTTTTCACATGTTTGCTTCGAACCTGCTGCCTTTTGCTGTAAGCTTCTTTTGTAAATAGTAACGTAAGACGTGAGAGTGAGATTAGTCTGTGGGATTACAAGTTGTTTTTGCAGGGTCAACATGAACGTGTGAGATTTGTTTTCATACAACGTCGTGAAGGGAGATTGATTTGTTTCCATTGAAAATCGCGCTTCTGTTTTCCTCAGGAAACGTTTCTTTCGGGCAGGGGAAAAAACACAATAAATACCGAGGAGGGGAACTAAATCGCGTCAGCCTTTGGCTGCATCACTTTACGACTACTACGAAGTACAACACAAGATCCGAAAATGCATCGATACGCTTTGGATAGCTCGATTCCATTACTCCCACCCTTGAGCCGAAGAAAGCACACCCTACAGTACAACGCCAACATCGCGACTGCCGGGCTGGCTGCCTAGAGCTTAGCGTGGTAGGAGCTTTGGTGTGCGACCATGCTTCGCTCGATGTCACCAAGCTTTTTGCAGCCCATGAGCCGCATCGCTTGGACGAGCTCTTCGTTGAGTAGGTTGATGACATCCGTCACTCCATGCTCGCCCTGGCATGCATCATGCAGTGCGTCATTGTCACCAGACGTGTACTGTGGTCAGGCAGGAGACTGAGAATCATTCTGTGACCAGTTCTTTTCTGCCACGTTGTTTATGGAAATTCATGTTGTAGTCATGGGGATGGGTCACTCCAGATAGCCCAGCCAACACGCACCGCGACACGCCACGGTATCCGTGACTATCCGAACTACGGTAAACATCCAACATGCTCTTCTTCGTGGAGAGGCATCGCATTCGTCTAAACTAACACAAACCAGGAATGATCGAATACTTACCATCCATCTCGCGTAAACGTGCTGTTTGCTGGTACGGAATGATTGCCGGGCGACAAATAATACAGGTACATCGCAAAACTCACACTGTGGGCTAGCCCCCAGATGACAGGTCGGCCGATAAAAACAGCTGATGCGCCCAGGGCAAGCGCTTTCAGCACGTCCGTGCCCCGCCTGATACCTCCGTCCACAAAAATTTCGCAACGTCCACGCACAGCTTGCACCACCTGGTGAGGGAAGGGCCAACAAAATGGTCACAGCAAAATATCTCAGCTAGCGACGCCGGTAACAAGGTCGGCGAACGTCTCTTCTCTTGGACGTTCGGCATCTACTACAGCGCAAAAGGCAATGGTGGTGTTGCATGAGAGGAAATGAAAACGACCTTTTCTCCGCCTGCCTTTTTTTTACCTTCCTTATTATGGTGGGTCAGCTTGTGACCACGGCAATACATTTTGAAGGTATGGACGAGCAGGTACTAGATCCATCCGAGGTCAATATTGATCATGTGAAGACGACATCAACATTTCCCGCGCGAGTGGCACGTTGGCCGTTGCAACGTGCTCATGCATAGTTGAAAACGCATTCGATCAAAATTCGCGGCCGTTCCATGTCGCGTCTGCAGCAACAGACAGAGCCATACCACCTCAGAAGTCAGCTTTACTTTTGACGTGGATTCGGAGGGGACGTCGTCTTGAACGTCAGACTTTTCTTGTATCCAAGGCCACGCTCTGTTGGTGCCGTTGCCCAATGAAAACCGCATGGAAATGCCATCTCAGTATCCCTCGTTCCAGCATCCTTTCAATGTCCCACCTTAACCCTCTGGACTGTCGTCTATAAGCACAAGTCACCCGATGGTTCAAGTGTCATTCTATACGCGGTACCGGATGGTTAGAAAATGGTTCGCAGCCTATCCCACATCGCCGAGATACTCGTTCCGGCCCATCAATTACGGCAGTCAGCCCGTTCTTGTGAGTACTCTGGAGGGAAAGAGGTTTCTACCTGACTGCGCTCTGTCTAAACATTCGAAGGTAACCACCGAAGCAGCACCGGGGACTCCCGCGGCGTTGGGCGAAACGTCTATCTATATCCTCTCCTTCCGCCCCCCACTTTCTCGCACCTCTGGAAGGATCTCAATCGTGGCCGGAACGGTGTCTAGCTGTCGCCCTCCATGATTAGAGACCCACACCGCGTCCACTCCGTGCGCCAGTGCCTCCTCCGCCGCTTCCCTCGTCATCACACTCTTGACCACTATCTGGATAAAAGAACGAATGCTCTGCTCAGCACGCGTCCACTGGGCGTGTTTCTCGGCGGTTCAAAAACGGCCATGGCTGGGCAAAACGTATAGATAGACGTAAAATACGGTGCAAAAGCTATACGGTGCAAAAGCTAACCTACAGATAGTTTGGAAAAAAAAGGAATCATGACAACATGACAACTCAGGTGGTCACTGAAACCGTTCAGCAAATACCTTCATGTCCCCGCAGATAGTTCTCAGCCAGTGAACGTCGTCCCAGTTCAGACTCTTCCCTGCTTCAGGCCGAGCGTCAGACGCCTGTCCCTGCAAGAACCACGAACAACAGCAGCTGTTCAGTGTACAGCAAATACGGGAACACAAACGTATCATACAGGCAGCTAGCTGCCAGTGTAAGGGAAAAAATGTGGGACACATCTATCTCTGATGTGCCAGAACACTCCCTCCCGGGTAATGGGATGTAAGAGAGTGGAGCACGATTCGTGCACAACAACGGCATGCCGTACACTGAACTTATTCCGAGAGCGCCAGGCGACCCAGAGCTCGGAACGGTCATCCAAAATGACCTGCAGTTTGTATGCTTCCGGTTATTTGGCGTGAACAACAGCTTTGACTGTGACAAACTGTTTGCTGACCAAGTCCATGGTTCCGTCGGGACGGCGACCGATGCGTGCCCCCGTTGCCGATACCACTCGGCCCTCCGCAAGCCTAGGGGCCAACTCGTAGCAGTTCCGCAGATCCGCCTCCCTCCGGCCTAGCACGGGGCGGTCCACGGTAACGACAAGCGCGGTGTACCCGGCCGCGATGGCTCGCCTAACGAGCCCGGCGAGCACTGTTCTGTTCTTTTGTTTCAAAGATCATCAAATTGTGGTGCAAAATGTTGAAAGGGCGACAGCGAATGAAGGGGGTGAGCGGGGGGGGCAGGGAGTAAACAGCCACGTCGAGTGGGCATATTGCCTGAGGCTGTGCAGTATAAGAACAGGGACATTTGGTCATCAGGGTACAGGAAGCACACCAAAGCTCGTAACACTGCAATGCGATGGCATACTGCATGCCCTATCAAGACGTGGTATCGACAGGTCAAGTGTTTGACCAGTATGGACAGATGACGGTACCGGGTAGAGAGATCGGAACGGTTTTTTTATCGATGTGAAGACAACAACAGCAAACGACAACATGAACAATCTTTGTCGCACCTTGCGCGATGACAATGAAAGCTGAAACCAGCGCTGCATGTTGGGACCACCGGCGGTGGCCACATCCTCCAGGGCGGTCGTTGCCGACGAGCTCACCACCATCATCGAACAAGTCCCGGCAGCAGCCCTCGCCGTGGCCAACTCACCGTCGTCATGGGCAGCGCGATGTTCAGCTTGCAGCATTGGTGATGAGACAGCGGCACGCGCAGCACGAAGAACCAATAGCAGTGGCAATGGTAATAGTGGCCGTAGTGGAGTCGCGGGGGGGAAATGTTGTAGTCCTTATCGAGCTTAAACACAGAAGCGCGATTAGCGAGTATTCATTGGATGCACATATTATTGACACATAAGAGTACTGTGAGGGAGGGCTAGGAACAAGGACCACGTCTGCTAGTCTCTGGCAGGGCTGAGGCAAAATAAATTGCCTTGTGGTTGGCTTCGGTGACAAAACGAAGCACCTAATTCGCTCATACACCTCCATGCGGCACCATTCTATTTCTCTTACCACCGAATTTGTGGCTATCAGTCGCACCTATTTAGCTCTGCTGCAGGAATGTGGTGACACTGTATTCAGCTTAGACTAGCGGCGTCTACACGTTTTACTGTTCTCAAACAACTCAACGGTACATGGTACGGGAAAAGCAAGACGAAACTATTACCCCTAATCACCTGTGGGCGAGATTCCAATGGGATGCGCCATGCGTTCACCAAGCACCGTGCGTGTGGTGTCGACTGAAGACACGTCTCTCAGCACGCGAGGCCGTAGCCGTAGACGCCTGTACGCAGCCCTGAAGCGACGCGAAAAAACATCGAGACCAGTCGCCTATCGTCCTTGCCGTGAAACGGTAGGAGTATTATAGTACCACTTGGTGGCTCTGTGTGGACGAGATGGGTGGGAAATAGACCCCCACATTCATGCGACACTTACCACTCTTTCGGTTCTCCGTGCTTACTTGCGGGTTGCCTCGGACTGCTAGTTGTTGTCCATGTCTTCAATCTCATAACAACGCCGATCGGTAACCAGTATCTCGATGTTCCGCGTTGGTCCCATCGTTGCGGAAGATTTGAAATTTAACTTCCATCACACAGCCCATGTTCGAAGTTTTCACCTCTAAATAGCGGTATCCCGAGAAGTTCCTCTTGCGCAAAATCGACAACAGGATAACTTCTTCAAACCATGTTTCGTTTCTGTCCCTAGCTCCAGGATTTGGATTTGGGTCCTTGTATACCTAAACTAAATGCATCAACAAATCGCACGTCTTTGTTACAGTAGTCGTTTGGGAAAGGAGCCTGTCCGTCTGTGTGTCACTTCTATTGTTCGGGTGGCTCTTTTCTGCGTTGCCGCGCGCTAGACTACAATAGATATGCTGCACGCTATGTGCCACCTGATGTGTAGCGCGAACAATTGACTTGTACCATTCATCGTGAGGATGCATTGCGTGCAGTGCTTGCTCACCTGTTCTCCCTGAGAGTAACCATGTCGTTCGCACCGCCTGCGAAGTAGTCAAACTCTCCTTTCGGCAGTACAACCTTTGCACGTCGTTCGTAGTCCGCAACGTTGACATGCGTGCATCCTGGTCGTGCAGTATCTTAGCGGGAGAACCGTGCAGCAGCGTATGCATACATTACGACACCGCGAGAGTTGCGGCGAACCTCACACTCGTTGGTACTGTAGACTGCATGTATGTACACCGCCAACATGCAGCAAATATAATTATGTACGTGAATGGCTTCTTCCTCAACCAGATGTGTGTTCAGGGTAAGGTTTACAACATGGCTGAGAACAAAACGTTTGGTACTCTAACGAGGATAGTGTAGACAAGTACCGCCAACCACACGTCCTCGCTTCATTCCGTTCTTTCGTTCGCCGACACAGAACGAAGGTCCTCTACGAATGAATGCGCAGTTTAACCACTTGCGGTACGGTAGCGTTATTCAGAATTAATGCCGAAGCCTCACCACTCTTCGGCGTTGGTAGGGGCATACCAGTAGAGGCAGCAGAGGCAGTAGCGCTTTGACCTTCAAGCCTCCCCATCCCTCCGCACGAAGCTGCAGCTGCTGCAGTGATGACGTCATCCACCAACATCGATCGGGAGGATTATTACAGCGGCGACGAAGGAACATAGTGCGATTTCATGTACGTTGTGCGCGGATTCAAAATGGTTGGCGACGTGATCCATCTTGTGTACTCTCTCAGCGTTGAAGATCAGCACACATGAATTGCGAGTTGCAGCCTGAAGGCAGCGTGTCTCGCACATGGTCTGCAATCTGCAATACAGAAGCTTTCGGTCGAAGAATCAGCTTGGTACCATGGTCTGATTGAACTGACCCGAAAGACCTCCAAGTTGAGTTCGGAACTGCCGGCATTCGGATCCTGCCGTTGTACCACCTTATTAGCCTTCTCCGATAGGACTTGAGGCAAGACGGAGCGGTTTCAGCAAGTCATGTGCCAAGCGGATGACATGCGGCGGAACCACCTCTCGCCGAGGAGGAACCTTGGGAACAGAACCACGTGTGTTCGCCGCGGAGTCAGAGGTCGCATTTATGTGCAGTGGGCCTACCAAGTGTGGTAGTTGCTGAGTATGGAGTGATTCCGGTGGGACATTTAGCTGCACCGTATTCGCGTTCGTCGTTTTGTGTCTCTCATTTGTGAAAATCTCAATGCGACGAGTCATACCCTCTGAAGCTTTTCTACATACAACCTGGGACACATTATAATTTCCGCCCATGGCACCGCGCGGTGTGTGAGAACCTAAGAGCTTGGGAACACCCGCGTACAAACATGGCACTGTTACCCCACCTTGGCGGGGACAAACCAGACGTAAAGGGCTAAAGACGACGAAAAAAAAATGCTGTTTCGTGCTGCGCGACAACACAACGTGAGGGATCCCACTGCGGCCATACGACTGCCCATGCAGTTGGGTTGCTTACATCCCCATCAGAATGCAGCCAACAAGGCAGAGCGGTCAAAAGGGCGATGGGCAAAGCAGGCTACAACCGTTATATCGGGTGGTGTGCTCTTGCAAGCAATCACTGACAAAGCTCGCCGACGCAGCCAGCTGTAGATATTGGGGTGTGGTGTGTGTGCCTTTCCGTGGGTGGTTGATGTTGTCAGTGTCTTGGCCCCACTTGTTGCTCTGCAGGGTTGTTCATGGGTGGTCCATTCTTGGGCACGATTGCTATTGATGTAGAACACGCCCACCCCCAGCTTTCATGAACAGGCAACAGCATGTCGCACGGGAAACTGTTTTTACAACGTAACACAGCCAGCAGCAACGAGACGGCTCTGCGCCCGACGTGAAATAATCCTTGACCCCAACACACATGTCCATAACACTTTATGACGAGTGTCGTCATCGGTGTTGGATCGTCGCCCAGCCTGCCGCTGCCGGCTTCGTGGGCTTCTTCTTCTGGTTTCGCCGCCACCAAAACAGAGCCAAGCTACAGGCCACAACTGCGGCATACACCCCGCCGACCTGCCAGTCCAGCAGCCGACAGACGAAACGCAACGAACACAAGTGATGTCGAGACAAAACCAGATGGAAAGAACAACAGCAGATGGTAGATGACAGCATTGATAGAGGGGGCAACACGAAAATAAGGACAAAGAAAGGGGGTGCACTCTTACTCGTAGTCGTGCATGCATGCCGTAGTCGTTAGACCATTGACCTCGCACCCCTACAAAGCCGGGACGGACCACGCCGGGTTCTCACCGGACCAGGCTCTCACATCAACAAGCGCGAAGCGCCGTGGGGTACTCGGCGAGGTGCATGGAGGGTGCGCTGCATCCTGTTAAGGGTGTTCGGCATCTTCTGCTTACTCCTTGCATACGGATGACAGCTGCGAATGACAAAAGTTCTATTTTCTGGTGCTTTCACCTCCAGAGACAGTTATAAGCACTGTGTAACTGCCTCGAGGGTGCTTGACCAATTTAACACAACGTAGAGGTATCACCCCCTTTGCGCGGAATGAGGGTTCTCGACCCCGCACAACATAATCTACTCGACCACCATTGTGGTTACCGCAAAAAAAGAGGCAAAAAAAAGCGGTAACCTGGTTGTCGAACTCACGAAACGATCGGCGTGTCTTACAACGTCGTTGCCAAACGACGAAAACCCAACCCCGATGGCAAACACCGGGGCGGGGGGGAGGGGGTGATGTGTGGGGCGTGGAGCGACGCGAACATCGGAGACAGCGGGGACAGGACAACTGTACCCGTCGTGAACCACTACCAAAAGTCGTGCACGGAGCCCTAAAACGAAAACCAAAAAAGACCTTTGATTGCACAACGTTTCCAAAGTCTCACCAAGCCCACGCCGAAGCCGTCTAGTACGGGTATTGGGTTCTTGTCGCTCACGTCCACGTCGATCGAGCCTCCTCCCGAGCATGCTTGCACACAGTAGTCGCACCTGCCGCACCACCAAACAACCGACTCAACCCAATAAACAAAAAACGAATTGGTTTGGAACAACACACCCCGCCAAGAAGATCGACCACCGAACCCACAGTAGAACATCGGAAGGGAACGTGGAGAGCCACGGGAAGCCCAAGAATACAACATGCTGACCAATAAACAGCCGACAATGCACCTGCTGCTTTTACCACAGCCTTGAGGGCGTGAAAAAAAGGTGAAGATCGCACTTGGCGTAAAGAAAAGTGTAACACGGCACACGGGAGTAACGGAATCAGAAAATCGCGTCCAAGATAAATATACTACGAGGTAGAGAGTAGACAATACTTGTAGAGTTGCACAGAAAATAAGGCAACGCTTGGTCATGCCGTGCGGCATAAAGTGCTACAGTATCCTTCCCACGAGGAGAAAGGGATTTTTTTCTTACGACAGATGAACCGCTTTTATCGCAAGCAAGGTGCACCGCGTGTGCCTCGGTTCGTGCAATCAAAAAGTTGACATGACACAAGACACCACACCCCGTGAAACGGTTTTTACAGCTCGATTTTTCCACAACATAAAGCGTGACAGCGCCGAAAACGGCGGCATTGAAGCTGTCTCATCGAGAAATTCCCGAAAATGTCTCGCTTCATGTATGCATCCTCTTCGCCGTCGGGTAATCGAGCTTGGAAATCGCGACAGGGTGTGTGGTACCTTGTGCTACCTACGGTAGGTTTTGCAAATGAAAGCCTACATGTTGTTCGACCATGCCCGAGAGATGAGGGAAACACGCCGACCGAGCCAACAGGGCCTGTACAAGGACAAGAGAGTGACCCACGACATTCACGCGGAATCGGTTCTTCAAATCAAGGAAGGTCTCACGTGCAAGAAATGATGTCTTCCCTCTTGGGTGGGTATGCGAAAGGAATCGTCGAGCTCCCCGGATCGAAGAACGAGTCGCACGCGAGCGTGTCGAAGGACATAGAAGAAGACTCAGAGGAAGCAGTCGGCGCAGATGCTGCGGCTTGTGGGTCGTCTTTCCTTTCCGTAGCACGCACATCAAGACCTCCGCTCACGGGTAAGCGCTTGTTTCCACACGGGGACTCTGCGCTCGCGTTCGCTGATAACACGTGCAAGAACAATCAACACGGGGTAGAGTCATCAAAGGCCGAAGAGCGACCAGAGAAGGACGACTAGACCTTGCGCATTTGGCGTCGGGTCGTGATGTTGCTATTGTATGGGTTCCTGCAAAACCAACTCAACGAATGGAGGGTTATGGTGAAAATAGCACATCATTGTCCCGAACGAAGGCGAGTCAAGTCGCCGTTGCAGCACAGGCAGAGCGACCGCTATTCCCCTGCAACCAAACGAGAGAGAGAGAGAGAGAGAGAGAGAGAGATAGAGAGAGAGAGGGAGACAGAGGGAGGGAGGAAGAGAGAGGCAGGAGACAGACAGACAGGCAGACAAACAGAGGAGAAGCAAGAAGCACACGAACTACAGCAACCTAAAACAGACTCACTTTCAAAAGAAGGGAAGAAGAATTCCCCGTGCCCCACTGCGCCCGTTTGCAGCTGAAACTTCAGCAAGCCCTGTCGACATCGAGCAAAGCAAGTACCTCACAGCTTTCAGTGAAAAAGGCAGCCCACCACCCATTCAAAGAGCATCGAAATTCCAACTGAGGGTGAAAAAGCAGCCACTTCAAGCAGACACCAAAAACATCTGCTGCAATCGTTGGGACACTCGATAAAGCAGGAACATCAAACGAACCCCCTGGACGAATCTATAAATAGGACAAGAAAAGGTTTTGCGCACAACGGTGTACTTGCAATACTTCCGAGCTTGAACGCGCCCGGCGTGGTGGATGCTATGTGACTGACCACTGCATGTGACCACTTACCAGTCCCGATTGCATAGCCGTCGTCTCTCCGACAACAGCGATGCTCTTGCACGACTCGTATATCCGGCAAGCCATGTCTCCGTCTACGTTGACGTCAAGCTGCAGGACTCGCGAAGATCCTCCCGTCAGGTCGTCCCTCCTCTACAAGGAACGAGACACCGATACATTCGTGCAACAGCGGAAATATTGCTAGTCGTAGGCGGTAAGCATGGACAGCCGGAGCATCGCCCATCTCCTGCAAAAAAACGTGCATCACCTCTCCTCAATACTGATGAAACAGCAGTCTTTCAAACAGTTGCAACGCATGAATGTGTGGCGCATGTCAGGTGGTACGATTTACTACACGCGGTTAACTGCTACGAGTTGGATTGGAGCTCCCCGTTTTCTTCAAAGCCCTCATTGAAGACATTGCCGCATACCACCAACCATAAACAACAACAGAGACGGACGGTGATAGTCCGCCCGATGTGAATATTTTTGAAGACCACCCGCATGTCCTCGGTGGAAAGAACAAAAACAATGACCCACAAGCTGGATGACGAGTAGCATGGTTACTCGCCTGATCGAACGGTGGGTCATGCATGGAGGCGAAGGCCCCTTGGTCCGGTGAGCAAACCAAAGCGCACCAAAAGTTGACCAAGTTAACGGCACAGGCCAGGCAGCCTGTCGTAGACCCGAAGCTGTAGGAAAGGCAAGGGGGAGCGAAGAGTGGAGGCAGCGGAAGACAATTGCAAGCTTTGCCAACAGCAGCAGCAGCGCGATAAGTGCATAGGTAGCTGTAAGCGTGAGTCCAACGGCACGCCGCAGAGCGCGATAGTGCCCAAAAGACGCTTTACCATGTGGGAGGGCAGCAGGAAGCAACAGCATGATATGAAAAAGACCGGAAAGGAACGACGCGATGAAAGACGTCAACAGTCAAAAGCTCGCGTTTGCACAGCAAGGTTAGCAGTAAAAATCCGAGGAATGTCCACACAGTCGTCTTGAAGCAAATGTTTAATCAGTTACGCTGACATCCACATGTACGGAGGGACAAAGCATGAACACTCTTCTCTCACCCGAGGGAATCCGTTCACACCTAACGCCACATGTGAAAACCCTTTTGTCAGAAGGACACCTATTCTGCCAAGCATGCGAATATGGCCCACACGACGCTTCAACACGTCCGTCCAGAAAGGTAGCCTGCGATACTCACGGATCGCCTTCTCTTCAGGATGTCCGAGTCTCTCAATATTTCCGTGGGTGCCTTGCCTGTCCTGGTAGCAATAGTGCAACAACGATCCTGTCATCCCCGTCTTGACCCTCCTATGCTACGTACCTCTCCACGAGCAAACCCAGGTTCTGGTAGAGGGCGTAGTTCTGTTGCCAGCTGCAGCATCCGCTATCTTTGTATTGTGGGCAGACGATGGGCGCCACGTCTTTCAGGCCCTTTGGAGCGACGAAGTCCACGATGCACCTGTCGTCAGGATTAAAGGAGTGTTGTATCAGTATTCTTCATCGAGCAAGAGGGGAGTCCTAACCGCGGATGCGTTCGGCGTTCGATATGCCACAATCTTCGTCGAAGCTACTGATACCGCGTGGCGTGGCCAGAATAACGGACGAATGAATCAGCAGCGGCCTTTCAGCGTCACGTATTGGATCAGCACTGTTGGTGTGGGTAAACATTGCTGCAGTTGAACGTAGCTAAACGCGTTGCTTGATATGACCTGCGGTGTGAGAAGCGCTTGGATAGCACTTGCTGCACTCTTGCCTGCGGTACTATAAGTAGTGCTAGAGGCAGCACCACCACCAGTGCTACACCACCAACCGCAGCGCTGACGGCCGCATTTAGTTCTTCGCGTCTGTCTTGTGTGCATGGCATGGCCTGGGTCAGGTATATGGATTATCTTTCTTGTTGCTTCTGACGTGAGGTAACTCAGAGCCGCACGAAAAGGCGTTCGTCCGTATGTAGTTGATTTTTTGTTATCGTTTCAATCAATCAATAGATCGTTAGATTGCATTGCACGACAGGAGTGTTTGCAGCACCACTACTAGCAACACAGGGGATTATGTCGTTCTGCGGTTGGGCAGGAGGACGGACGGGGGGGGGAGGAAACAACAACTACCCTAAGCGGGCGCAAAGAAGCATGAGCCATCCGTTCGTGTCAACAGCAAAGGGCGCAACACAAAGTAAGCAGCGAAAGTAGTAGTAGTGCGGGAGCCAGTGAGGAGCCTGGCCAAACCCATGAAAAGGTCGGACGAACCTGCCGTCTGAATCTGGCCTTCCTTCGTCGCATAGGCCAGTCGATGGGTTTTCAACAGACCCGTCCCAGACTTTGTCGTGAAAAACGCCGAAGCCGTGAGAGCTATCCATGGGAAACGATACGGCCGTGTCACCTTCCGCTGGGATGGGGGTGCAGTCTGTGTCGAGCCCGAACTGAAAGCACTCCTGTGCCAAAATTAGCCGAGGAAGCAAGCAACAGATGGCTCGAGACATCATGGTTCGGAAGCTCGCCCTTCAACCGATTGGGTAAAGGAATAACAAGCGCTGCCGGTCACTCTCGCTCATCAGGACCATTGCATCGGTGTCTTAAGACAAAAACATGTTCACGGGAGAATGTGTTCTCGCTGAGGGTCTGCGCCAACACACACATCCTACTAAGCGAACACACGTATGCGTCTGTTCCGTATGCGACTCCCTGGCATGACACGTCGGCGTGTCCTGGGGGTTCGTTCGCCCCTGTTATTCCCCTGGGTAACTCTTCTATTCGTGCCACTTATTGGTGGATATTACAAGAGAAAATCGCGTGTATCCGTGCTTGGTTATGTGCGTCGGAGCTAACACCATCTTCGAGCTCTTCCGCGATACCACCATCAACGTGTCCTCATTAATCCCAAGTCCTACCTGCGTAAAGGCGCATTGTCCGGCGTCCACCGTAGGCAGCAGCAGGAGGAGAACGCCCCCGAGATGTGTCAAAACCGCCGCTGTCCCCATGTCGCCGAAGAACCTCAGCAGACGGCAACAGCCGAATGCCCTTAGCATCCTCACCGCTCTCAACACCACAAACGAACAGACGACTAGACACGAACACCATGCTCCTCCCCCGTGCATTCGACCGGAAGTTATCGTCACCATGACCATCAGCATCAACGTTGACATCAACATTGATCTTGGTATGGGCCGCTCGCATGATGACGTCTTGCGGTTCCTCTGCCAGCGTCTTCCTGGTTGCCGGCATTCCTCTCCCTGCGTTGAGCTAGCAGTGCCGTTCGCGTTTTCAATCTTGACACGAGTCCCAGAAAGCACAGCTATCGCCTTGTCACGTCCTCTTCCCAGCGATCCCATGTCGTTGCCCGCCCCCATCGGCATGCTTGCCAGTGTACTCTGCCTCTGACAACAACAGCGTGATCGCCACGGCTCGAGCCGCCCAGCCCTCGCCTTCCGATCAGACGAAACGTGAAAGTTTAAGTGCTCATCGAATCACGAGAGTTTTGAAGCACAATCTGGTAAGCACGACGGCTGGGAGGCTGGGCAGCGAGATGTAAGTACCAAAGGGCAAATGACAAAATGGGGTATGCCCCATGTGTTTGGGTACAAAATGGGGTATACTTTTTTTCGGTGTGGGGCGCAACGAATGACGCCGGGTAGGCTCCTTTTAACCGCCTTCTAGCGCTTCAGCTCCATGCGCCAGGTCCTTAGGAAGGACGCCCAACTTTTTTCTTTTTTTTCACCCACAGGAACAGGGTTAACTACTGTAGGGCCTGGAAGACTGGAGCTTGTTGGAGGACCCCATTTTGTTCACGAAACCGCGGGGTACATCCCCATGTCTACTTCAAAAGTTTAATATCGTACCCCATTTTGTTCACAAACGTACCCCATAATGTTCAAGGCATACCCCTTTTGTTCAGTGGTGACGCTCCTGCGGACTGCCAAAACGGCAACCAACAATCAACCGCAGACCACCATATCTCTGTATCTGCTGTCTCCTTGCCTTGCCGCAGACCACAACAAAGCCTGTTTGTTGGACCGCAGGCCAGCATACCTCAACATGTGGAAGGTTGTGTTGTACAACCTGGTGTTTTGTCAGAACGGTTAGAAATATCAAAGGGGGCACCGTAGGTAAGAGAGAATCGATAGGTAGGTATGTATAACGAAAGGAAAAGAAAAAGGAAAGAGATGCACCTTGCTCATAACAGAAGAAACATCTGAACGAAAGAGCAAGACAACAAGCAAACAAGAGGAGGAGTAGAAGAGAGACAGAGGAGGAGGAAGAAGGAAGCGAGTGTACGGAAGGGAGGAGACAGACAGAGAAAGAGAGCAAGAGCATCGTCGGTTCGTTTTTTTTTCAACGTCGGCCGACCCGGCGCTTGAGCGCGGGGGCCGGGATCCTGCTGCCGAGCGCGGGGTCCCATGCCGAATACGGTAAGGCTTGGGACGTCGACACCGATGTGGTGCCGCGACGAGGAGGAGGAAGAGCAAGGCGGATGGCGGGGCCAAGGAAGGGGAGAGGACGGGGGCTCGCCGCAGAGGGGCGGGGGTGAGAGGAGGAGGTCGTTGAGCCAGGGTGAGCGACGGGTGACCAGTGTAGAGGGCACGGGGACTTTGAGGATTGAGTCACGTCTATCGCCGTCCGCGTATTCAGGGGGGAGAGCGCGCCACTGAAGACCTAGGCAGACGCGTTCCAATTCCCCAATGGTAGCTAGGCGCGACCAGTCTACTTACGTCAGCTGACCATCAACTGACGTAAGTAGACTGGATCAGCTGACGTAAGTAGACTGGTCGCGCCTAGCTACCATTGGGGAATTGGAACGCGTCTGCCTAGGTCTTGAGTGGCGTGCTCTCCCCCCTGAATACGCGGACGGCGATAGACGTGACTCAATCCTCAAAGTCCCCGTGCCCTCTACACTGGTCACCCGTCGCTCACCCTGGCTCAACGACCTCCTCCTCTCACCCCCGCCCCTCTGCGGCGAGCCCCCGTCCTCTCCCCTTCCTTGGCCCCGCCATACAGACCACGCAGACCACCATATCTCTGTATCTGCTGTCTCCTTGCCTCGCCGCAGACCACAACAAAGCCTGTTTGTTGGACCGCAGGCCAGCATACCTCAACATTGTCTGTCTTCTTGCCGCGCCGCAGACCGCGAAACCTGCGTACTGCACCGCAGACCACCATACCCCAACATCTTCTGTCGCCACAACTATGGTGATCTACGGTTGATCTTTGGTTGCCATTTTGGCAGTCTGAGGGAGGAGCGTCACCACTGAACAAAAAGAGGTACAGCATGCCTTGAACATTATGGGGTACGTTTGTGAACAAAATGGGGTCCCCCAACAAGCTCCCCTCTTCCAGGCCCTAGTTAACCCTCTGTCCCTGTGGGTGAAAAATAAAATAAAAATTGGGCGTTCTTCCTAAGGACCTGGCGCATGGAGCTAAAAAGCGCTAGAAGGCGGTTAAAAGGAGCCTACCCGGCGTCAGGCGTTGCGCCCCACACCGAGAAAAAGCAGAAAAAGTTGCTTCCCATCTTGTGCCCAAAAACACGGGGTACCCCATTTGTATATTGCCCTAAAAGCAGGATTACTGCTGTTGTAAATAGTACGCGGGACATACTACATGTATGAGAGACAAGAGAGGGGGTCAGAGAGCGTGCCCACACATTCACAATAGAGAGACGGGAGAGAGAGAGAGAGAGAGCCAGCGAAAGAGCAGTTCGGCACAGCAGTCGCCGCCATAGGGGGGTGGGTGGTATACACCGCTGCACCGACTGGTCGACGTCTAGGGTACAATAGAGAGAAAATCGAAAAATTGAAACTAAATGCTGCCCTGTAGATTGTACAGGTATGGCATGCGAAGATTATGTCAGCGCAGCGGCGTTGCACTACAGATGCGAACATGCGAACCATACCATACAGCGCAGGTAGGGTCGTCGGGTTTGAAAATGCGTTGTGCAAGCACGTCTCGCTACATACAGCAGTATCTAGAAAATCAAAGGAAGACACTGACCTTCTCCTGTGCTTCGTGATGCAGCTAGTGCAGAGATACCACGTGGAACCTACTAGCAGTAGTCGGAGGCGTCTCCTCGGAGCTGGAGGCACGCTTGATCAGCTGTGCCTTGTGTTGGGTGTTGTCTTGTTTTCCAACTCCGGGGGGACGGCGGCTGAATGTTGTGGGGGGGGGGGGAGTATCCGGGCGGATTATTTGAGAGAGACAGCAGACACAGCTGCTGACATTCACGAGGCGGCGGCTAGAGGAGGCGGTCGCTCCGACTATTGGAACACACCAACAGCAACTTGGCACTTGCTGCCCGCTGCAGCTCAAGACACACCCGAGAGGAAAGTGAGCGTGGAGGTGAGAGTAACTAGGCGGGCAAGATTAGATTGCTTACCGAGAGGGTGCACAACGACCCGACCAGCCACTTTGTATGACTGACGGACCCTGTCTGACTCCCATTTCCGACCTCCCCAGCTTCGCCGCGAATCTGCTAGCTTCGCCTGGTCTTAACATATTGGCCCTCTCCTGGGTGGTAGCATTGCCGGCAGCAGCACACACGCAGCCAAGTCAGCCATAAAAGACAACGTCGGGTAGTTGCAAAATCTGGAGAGGGCGAAATAGGCGAGGAACGTTCCAGCGGGGGCCATATTTTTTTAGTCTGTTCCGCTGTTCGGCCACCAGAGAAAAAGAGAAAGAACGTGAGAACATGCTTTTGGGTGTGGTGTGTGGTGTTGTCGTGTTTGGTGTGTTTGCATTTCGTCTGCAAGGACAAGAGCAGCCATCTAATTTATCCTGGATCCCTGCTCTAGACCAAATAGCTGACAGACTTATTGATTCATTCTTTGGCATGACCCATCCCCCACTCCTAAAAATTTGTATGTCTGTTTCAGCTGTTGACTGACTGACTGCTACTCCTCTTTGAGCGGCATCCCACAACAATGACACGATTTGTGACACTCCGACATAGTCCTAAAAATATACTCTAAAAAATGTCTAGTCGGTCAATAATTGCACGTTTTTATACGTATATCGGAATTTCATGGGCGTGTGTCTAACACCAGCTTCTGACCGCTTCTAAAAAAGGAGATTACAGCAGTACTTTGTGAACACATGGGTTCGTTTGTTCGTTTGTTCGGGGATGTGGCATCTCCTTCTGGGTGTTCCTCACCTGTCCGAGACCCGATGAACAACATGTTTTGAGTTCTGAAGGAAGCTTTTCCGGAATTATTTCAGTTCTCGCGTCTCTCTTTTTCGTTTTTGTGCTGCCGAGCGCCGCCGCTGCCACCCACCATCCACTCCCTTGGTTGGTGTTACAACGAACGCTCCTTCCCTTTTTCGAACAGCAGGCAAGCAGGCAGAAAGGTTCGGGTGAACGAACGCTGTACATCACCGGACGAACGTCAAGCCTTTTCCCTAGGATTCGACTCTGGGATCGGCCGGAGTGAGCTACAAAAGTGTTCCAATAGCGGCCTTCCGTCAACATACGGACACATAGGCTAAGCACTGCAATTGGTCCCGAAGGCGGACAGCCAAGATACACCGGGGACAAAGGAGGGAAAAAAAAAAAAGAAGAGAATCAATCAAGCATGGCTTGTTTCTCGTCCGGGGTTGGTGGTGGTGCCGGTGGTGTCTTCATTGGGTCATTCAACATCAACTCGGAGGATCTCACAGTTGACGCTGCCAGGGCCTGGCTCAAGCAGGCAGAGGGTGCAGACATCGTTGCCTTGGGACTACAGGTAGCTGAAGAAGTGGAGAGGGGTGGACAATCGTCGCGATAGAAGCGGAACCGTGGGCGTCCAGAGCTCAAACGTTGCTGTAACTCGAACAATCGCAGCGTTATTTTCAGCAAAGGACCACGACCGTGCTATCCACTCTTGGCGATACTGTAGAGTAGATCGATGGTTGATTAACGCAAAAGTTGGCGTTCCGCCCTTCAAAACCCCAACCCTACCCTACCCCTCTCACGAATCGGCATTTGTTTGTTAACTCACTCTTTCTGCTGTAGACGGGAGCCTAGTGTGGTGCATTGAGTAGGTGTTTCGTTTGCGCACGTGGCCGTTTAGGGCACACACGACAACAACAACAAATCAGCAACGCTGGTTGCTGGTCGGTATCCCGACGTGTGGAGACCACCGCCTTCGGCGAGATGTAAGCTGCAGTAAAAAGTGGATGGTATCTAGGGTCCGCCGACAAGCGCTGGTCACGATGCAGTTTCCCCGCAAACATGTTCTCCTCCAAGCGTTTTTTTTAATGCATGTGTGAAGACAGCAACAACCAACAGCAACGATCGAAGCACTGCTGTAGGGGAGAACGGCTTAAATATTGCTGATTGGTGATTTGCCATGAGCGATACGTAGCGTCTGATGGTGAAACTAACTGCACATGTTTTGGCGCGGAAATGTCATTGGTGATTGCTTCGCTTTGCGACATGATTCTCATATAATTGTCGTGCCGTGCGTGTTGTCTGTGTCTGGCTTGCTTGCTGCTGCTGCTGCTGCTTCAAAAGGAATGTGGTACCGTTCCAGCCAACCCGTTCCCAGAGCCAATCAACGGCAAGGCGATCGCGATGTGGCAACACGTCAAAGACGTCGCCGTCCCCGAGGCAAGAGTTGAATGCGCCAATCTCGCCGGTTGGGGGTCCCCTCGAATGGCCGGGGTGGCCCAAGCAGCCGCGGCAGCGAAGCTGGCGGCGGCGCACAAGGCGAAGAGAGCCCGAGCTGGCGCTACATACACCGGCGTGACGAAAGCGCCGCCGGCCTGCGGCAGTGGGGGTGATGCCGGGCAAGGACGGGAAGAGGATGAATTTTTCGCGGAGCCCCCGAGCAGCGGGCCGGTGCTGCTGGGTGGCTCTTCGGAGGGTTCCACGGGTATGCGGCAGGAGTCTTACTACCTTCGGGGTGTGATCGATGAACGTCGGGACAACAAGATGCTAGCAACCATCGCCGACTGCATCCCAGGTATGGCAAACGGCATTATTTTTCACGAAACTTAAACTTGTATTTCAACAACACTTGTTTGATACTCTACATACATTGATAGTCTTTCATCTAGAGTAGACAGAGATTTGTTGCGCTGTTGTGTTCGAGCCTGCTTGCCCAGTTCAGCGGCCAGGCTAGCTTAACCAGGACGGTGGCTCTATTTTTGTTTCACCGCCGTTTTGCTGGAGGGGTGTTGGTCGTTATCGTTAAGTGGTGTCAGCATACAGCGGTCCACATGGTTATTGCGTAAAGAGGCGGTCGCCAAGAAGCTTAAAGCTCCGAATGCGTCCTATTTTGCCCACATGGGTTGGAAATTCGATCTCGGCGAAGTTTCATTTCCCACGTTTCATAGACACCGTCCAATGTCGCGAGAAAACGAGATCCATGCACTGCTGGAAGATAAGTTATTTGTGGGTTGCCCCGAATCGCAGCTGCTGAATGGAGAAGCAAGACGGCGGGGGAGGTAGGAACTGCAGGCGGCGGCTACAAAATGGTCTGAAAAATTGGCGTGTTGGTAGCTATACGATGTGCCTCCGCTCCTCCGATGCAGCTACCCTAGAGACGGCGTGAAGCATTTTCAATGTGCATCTTATATGACACTTGACTCCGGCTTGGCTCCGCTCCAATGGGTACAGGACGGCAATTGGTTGCCGATGTGGCCATGGGAGAGACGCCGACTCACGGCAAGATTAAGGTCAACATATCAAGAAACTTGTCACCAAAGACACCCCCGCGAGGCGTCTCTGCGTCATCAGCAGCAATCGAGGCTGCGATGGCAGCTAGCGCCAACCGCGAATCATGCGGGGAAGGGTTGGACACTGCCGGGTGCGACGGGCCTCTCGACGAAAGCGGAAGGCCGGAATGGTCTGCCGGGGACGTCGGTGCGGGGGGCGTCAACACCCATCACAATGGTAGCGGCAGTGCAGACCCCGCTAACGGCGCTGTGTTCAAGACCGTAGAATGGTACGGAACTATCCGTCTTCTTGTCTTCGTAAGAAAAGGTCAGTGCCGATGGTGTAATAAACGTATATACAAGTATGTGTAACTTCCCTTTCATATGGTCTGGAACTGCTGGCGACTGCTCCACAATCGTACTTACTAGCACAGCTGTAGAGGGATGACTCGCTCTCCGCTCACCTTTGTAGCTGAGTACAGTTCGTGCGTAGACCGGTTCCTCGGGGCTGGCTATACTGTATCATGTATCATGTATCATGTATCATGTATCATGTATCAGCGAGGAATGAGGACGCCTCCAGCTTCTCCTCGTCCATGGTCATCTCCATCTCTTGTCCGGAAATTGGCTGCCATGTAGTGTGCCAACTTGCTGGAGACCCACAGGTTGACGTAGATCATCAAAGCTTCTCTTCCAGGGAAGACAATGACACGCGAACGGCGTCATAACAATTCGCACAGAATAGTCGCGGACGAGGCATGCGATAAACAGAGTAACGAACGAGTCATATCGTTCACTTTGACGGATAATTCGATCATTCGTTTTCACATTTGATAGGGGGGGTTGAACTGAAACTCCGGATCTGAGAACGTTTGATGAAAGCGTGTCGTGGAAGAGACTGTAGGAGAAGTCCCTTCGTCGTAGATGCGGCATAACCGCCGCCTCTTCGACACCTCCAGAGAGAAAACAGGGAAGCATCCGACCCTTCAATTCCTGTTTATCGCCCCCTTTACCCCTAGCGCCGCGGCCAGAACGAACATGTTGTTCGTACCCGGACACCCACGGCCGATCATTAGTTTTTTTTTTTGGTGCAGATTCTGCGCGAAGCTGCCATAAAACACTGGGTTGCTTTTCGTCTTTCGTTGGTTCATGTGTTCGCTCATGATTGTTGCTTCGCTGACGGCGTTGCCGCGTCTATCTCACGGCTTGACACGCGCGTGTTGGTGTTAATTGTCGGCATCGATCGATCGCAACACAGACCTCTACAAGAACCTTAGAGTTAAAACCGTCGTCATTCCTGCCGGGGATAAGCCTTCGGTAGTTGCCGATGCTCCCGAGGACTACGCGAAAGATACCTCTCCGGACAAAGGCGCCGTGGCTTGCTACCTCGAGGACCCGTCGAGCGAGAGCCCGCTGCAGCTGGCGCTTGTGAACTGCCACCTCTACGGCACGAACAAGTATGGCGTGAAGGAGGCCGTCTTCGACAAGGTGACTTGCTTGCTGCTAAATTATCACACGCCTCGGGATGGCTGATGCGGATGCTGCTGCTGGTGCTAATGAGTAGTCTTGTCAACACTCGGTGGTTGGCGCGCACTACACTACCGTTCGTTTCTGTTGTACTACAGGCGCTTTAACTATTTAGGTGATGCACACTGCATACGTGTCAGGTACAAGTACACGCGGCATTCACAGCACCAGCTGCTTGTACCCACGGGGTACATGCGCTCCCTGGACTGCTGTGTTCATCTCGGTTGGGGTTGATGCCTACCCTACACTCTCCCTTGACGCTTGTTTGTAGTCACGCCCTGGCTGTGCTGCCTCGTTCTGTGCTGCCCCCTGTCCCCCGCTGTTGCCCTCAGTACCGAATGGCGCAACTCCGTGCGATAGACTTGGCCCTCCAGGGCACTATACCAACCGCGGCAACAGCACCGCTCGTACTCTTCGGAGACCTCAACTTCAGGTACGACACGATTTTCATGCTACTGTACGCTCTAATCTCGCTGTAGTTTAATGCCCACGGTTGTGGCTGTTGTTGCTCATCACGTGGCTTTGATTGCTCCAGGCGCTGCAATTGATGTGCTTCGTGCCAAAGCTGACCCGTTGTGCGCCCAGCTAAGTAGGAACTGCATGGCCTCATTCAGGTGCCGACGGTCTCACCAGGGTGGGCGGGGATTACGTGTGTGCTGAGCACCCGCGCAACTGATGCAAATCAACAATCAACCTTCATTTTTTTCTGCTTGCGTGTTTGCTACGGCGCGTTTTGTAATTGCGGTGGTATTGCGTCGGCGTCGGTTTCCTTTCCGAACACGGCAGGGTGGAGATGCTGAGCGGAACGGAAGATAAGGCTAAGGGCGGGAACGATTTCCAGGCAGTCAGAGAGGTATTATTCGTTTCATGGCAGCCCCAGCGATAGCATGAAACTATGCTGCGCGATGTTATGTGACGGCAGTATTCTAACATGGTGTATTGCGATGGCACCGGCCTCACACTGCGCTGCTGCGATATAGCCTCCCAAGCGACTGGGAGACAGACATTCCGGGTGCGTTGCTGCTTCTGGATGGTTATTGCTGTGTTTTTGTGCACATGTAACCGACCATCAACGATCGGAGCAACAATGCTGCCCGTAAGAACCTGTTTTACTCCGGTTGATGCATGCATGCCTGATTCACTTGGTGATTACGGGGGCGTTTGATATATTATACAGCAGTATCGCGGCTTGTGTCGGTGATGGAATGGACCATGAAAACAGCATTCTCACAAGCTAGCGGAAGGGTGCGTGTTTCCTGTGCGTCATAGGCAGCCCTCCCTCCCTCATCTCCCCTCTCCCTCCCTCCCTCCCTCCCCCCTTCCAACGCTGTATCCGTCCCTGCCTTTGGTGCGTTGCTCACGTCTGTCTTGTTGTATTTGCGCGTCATGTGTTTTGGCCACTGGGTGTCGGGATGCAATGCGCTGCCCGCCACTGGTGTGCGATGCGACAATCGGTGCACCGATGCGACGACGCCAAACGTCAATGTTTATGCAATACAATTGAATGAAAATCAAGATGGCGGAAGAGTGCGACCCCAGGGTCCTACTCGACTTGTACAACAGAGCAGATAGGCTCAGGCCACTGCTCGACGGAGAAAAAGGAAGATGCAGAGATAGCCCTTTCGCGGAAGGACACGGGGGAGAGACTGGTAGCGCTACGGGTGATGATGAAAGGGCGTCTCTCGAGGTTAGTAAGGCTTGAAGTATGACACGGGTTGGGTGCTAACGTTGCCTGTTGTCCTTTTCCAGTTGTGCGGAATGTTTTGATTACTCAAGTGTCTGACCGACCGGTAGTTTTGGTGGCATATTCTACACAGCCGAAACCAACGCGCTGCACGTAGACTTCATGTGTTTATATCTAGGGATAGTCCTCTCGAGTCTCAACTTGCATGTCGTGTTTCTAATGTTATGGCGTACAATGTGCAACACACGTATTGTACTTGCTCCCTTGCATGCATCTTCACAGATCGTCGCCTTGTTGTCGAGAGCTCTGTTATGCTGTAAACCGATATGCAGCTGTAGTTAAACGACGTTTTTAAATCCGCACCGAGTTCCAGGATGCTGCGATGCCGTGGCTACTCACGGGTTTGAGGGATGGTTTGGGCCAATCTCTTGCGGAAGGCCATGCGGTGCGACCAACCTTCACTTATAAGCCCAAGGACGCCTCGAGTACTCCCCGCAGGTGTGGTGTTGGCCACGTGCATATTGTTGAAAGCACGGCCCCCCTCTTGTTGTGCCCCAAGAACAACTGTATTGTCTCTACATGCCTTGCAGCGTGAGTACCGTAGACGACACAAGATAACACACCCCGGTGATAACATTTTGGGCTTTAAAAATATTATCACCGGGTGTGGTACCCTGTGGGGTGTGTGGTATCTTATGTAGCCCGGGTGATAAAGTGCAGCTCGCACGGGCCCCTAAGGGGGTGTGATAAACCAGGGGGTGTGATTGCACGTCCGAACACGCACAGGGTGTGTTTTGGGTGTGTGATAAATGAGGGTTTGATAAAAAGCGGGTGTGATAGCACGTCCGAATACTCACAGGGTGTGTTTGGGGGTGTGATAATGAGGGTGTGTGAAAAAAGTTGGGGTGTAATAACACTGCTTGTAGAGTTGAACCGCTGCTGCCGCACACTTGAAGGGGTGTGTTATTGCGGGGGTTTGACAGCAATGCCTGTACGAACAATTCATGACTTGTGGTTCTGCGGAATGTTGTAAAAACAAAGGAACTGTTCCTGTGGTTTTTGCGGGCTACCGTATATTTTTTCCAGGTACAACGACAAGCGGACTCCGTCATGGACCGACCGCATCTTGTGGCGAGGCTTTGAAGACGACGAGCGCCTTGACGCCCATCCCCAACAAGAAGGCTCTCCTAGAGGACATCCTGTTTCTGGCGCTGGTCGTGCCATCAATAGCACCTTCGCCGCGGTACAGGAAGTGATCGCGTCAGACCATGAGCCCGTGTTCTGCGTGCTTGGCCTACCACTTCCACTACCACTACCACGTGAGATTGTCGCACACAGCAGGGCGTAGTCTGTTGTGGCGGCTGCGGCTCTGTTGCTGTCTGTACGTTCAGCAACCTCTACTGTACCATCCTGTACCAGTACCTCCGCTGCGGTGCTCTTGGAGGCGATGAGAATCACATCTCGCCAATGGTCTGAAACGCTAGTTTCACCTATGAAAGACAAACAGCGGCGTAGCGTAGAGATGGCACAAACGGAATGTAGGACCCGCTCATTGCTTCAACCCGGCAACTAAGGTCCGACCATACAACTAAGGTCCGACCATACAAAAAAAAAATCTCCGCGATTACTTTCCGACGTCTCCCTAGCTAGCTAGCGTTTGTATCCCACCGACCAATCAAGTCCGGCCTACACCGTGTGAAGGTGTGAGACACGCATGTCATGATGCCATGCAAGGCAGTAGTACGCCCTGTGTTTGTGTCCACGCACCCCTCCGACACCGGCGGGCGAGCTCTTAGCTCTTCTTCTCTTCGTCAAGCTTTTCCCGAACCAGGCGCACATGACCCATCGCCCGATTATTTTGGGGGTCGTACAGTCTCTACTACAAAAAGGATACACGTGAATAATCAAAAGAGTAGGCCAGCTTGATCTAAGCGACCAGTCAGACAACACACCTATTCCGAAGCAAACAAGCCCCAAGTAGAGATGAATCAATTGTTTGGTGAAACGTGTACTGCTGAGGTATCCGTGTTGTATGTAGCATACCACTCGTTCACATTGTCGTATAGACCGCTACTGTTGCATCATCGCAGTACAGCAGTATTATACTCCGTGTGACTTTCGCCGTGACTCGGAGAACGGCCGTTTAGTCGATTTGTCTGCTAATGGTCCAATACTGGCTGCCTTAGTGGTACAGTATCGCAGTAGCGCCACTCGTCGTCTAAATAAACGATAATAGCGCACGATACCGCTCTCGACACATCGCTGCTGTAGTTCTTATCTTGTCATAGTGCGAGTCTAACAGCGCCGCCTGCCGCATGCAACACCGCAGGAAACGAGCCGGTGTCTTGACGGCCTCTGTGCTTCAGTGGCGCCGTCTGCGGGCTCCTCGTTTCGTCATCCCCATCACCACGTTACATATTGCCGCAGCCCAAAAGAAGGGGCTAGAAAGCTAGAGAACCTTTTTCTTGGTTAAACGAGGGGGAGAAGGAGGTCGTACAAGAAACCCATTGGCCTCTCCGCTGATGGTTGTGGTGTACGTTGTGGCTTCAGCGCCGTTGGAGCAGCACCGATCGCATGGGCGAGTCAGATGAACAGGGTTTTGCGCTCACGGAAAATGATGAACGTTCTCATGTAGCTGAGGCCGACGCCCGTAACGAAGCACGCCATGAGGAAGGATGCCGAAGGCTTGTAGAGAAACACAAAGGATGTACATATAACAGCTATTCGTCTCTTCAGTACAAGAACTGGGTAGGTCTTAAGTGGTAGGATTTTGTTTTGGTTGGCAGTACAGCTGATAGACAGTTGAGTGTGCGGAAATTTGTCCGCGTAAGAGAATAACACGCAGCGCGTCGTGCGCCAGCAGACACCAGGATTAGCTTCTTTCAAAGCAGGATCAGGCGTGTGTTTTGCTGGTGATGCGGCATTCAGTGTTTGGTTGAAGGTATGTACGCCAAACGACGCCATTTTCTGCAGGTGCTGAGCATGGAGATTACAACTGCAGCTGCTCTAAATAGACACGTCGAAGGTGGTGCATTGTTTGTGGGGCGTTCACGTGCACTAAATCAATTTTATGGCGGAGAGTGGAGGAGATCTCTCTACAGTCGTGCTTGTTGTAAGCTCTCTGATCGTGCTTGTTGTAACTAGCGTAAACAATTATTTTGTATGGTCCACGTAGGTGTTGAATTGATTGCCAAGTGTTTCGTGTGTATTGTGTGTCGGTAGATCCCACATGTGTTCTAGAGTGTTGCACTACGGGCGTGAGAGAAATCATGTAATGCGTGACGCTATATCCATGAACCACTCCAGACCGCTCTGCAGCCGGCTTGCCATCTGCCGATCTACTGTTTACTGTAGCCGTACGTCGGGGCACTAGGATCGTACCCGTTTTCGTTCAGTCTTCTTCAAGTTGTGGCTGTGCCTCCGACACATGGAATTATCCAAACAGGCAAGTGCTGTGTGATGTCCACGCTATACTTTCACAGAAACGCCAGTGCGATTCACGCGAGACAACACGCGGTGCTCCCGCCAGATTGCCTGCCAGACTCTCGGTCGGCATGTTGCCACAAGGCCCTCTACATTCAATATCAAGAAGAAAAAGGAAAGCCATTATGGCCAACGCTGGTTGCGCACGCAAACGCGCTTTATCTACTCCTATGGACGTCGATACCGTGACAAACGCTTCAACGATTGACGCATTTGGGCTATTCGAGACTGTTTCGTAGGAACATCCTAAACCACAATCGTACCGCACCAGACATGATGGCTGCTCGCGGGATTGGGGACATGTAACAAATATTAACACGAGGCAAACACACTACCTAAAGTCCCCGAAGAATAGCCGCATCTAGTTTGCCATACACAAATCAAGAAGTTGCGCATCACGCTCTCCCCCTTCTGCCGGTACAAACAAAATCAATGGCAGACGAATGCCCCCCCATCTCACCCTACCCCACGCTTACCTTTACCTTACGGTGCACACGAAGACATAGGGTGGGCAACGCTTACGGTCGCCCTCACACTTTCCAGCCTACCTAGGTACAGGAATAGCGTGACACAGAAGGGGTTGACTACTCTGACTACATAACGCCCCATCCCACGCTTACAGATATACGCACACAGTCCACACGCCTAGCAGCCAAGGCTCGGGAGAAGAGCAAGTCGGCCACCATAACTGGTACCTTCCATCGTGAAGTGGCCAAGATTAAAGACAAATATGTCCTAGGATTAGACTACATGGTACCTGACAACCAAGACCAACGCTTCGGCTGAGAGTAAAGCCCACTATGCTCACGCTATGAAATGATCAAATGCAACTGTGACGACGAAGGCGAACACGCTCCATTCTGCACAAAGACCGCCCTTGTAAAACTATTCCACACCAAAAGCATGAGCCTACATGGGACAACAGCGATAGGTGCGCATCTGGCATTCCTAAACAAACAACGAGTGTGCCGACCAACACTGCACCAGTAACGATGAGAAAGCCTGGTCACTAATCAGCTGCGAGACCTTCCAAATCCAGACAAGCGTCTGTTCTGAGATCATCCGCATTGCTATGCTCGACAGACGTTTTGGGAGACGCGACCCTTAACGGTCTTCGTTAACGGTCATCTGCACAAGTTCCTCCCTAAGCACTAAACACACAACTTGTGGTTTGCTACAACAGCAGCAAGAACAGGCGGAGCGTCACAAGTAGACACGAGAAATACTTTGAACAAAGATGGTCGTAACCGATGCTCGGCACTTCGGCCAATCAACACGCAGGCTCTGCGTCCGAGTCTGTGGTGAAGCACGAGGTAGTTTTAACAATTGGTTCCAAGAAGCTCTCCACCTCGTTGTCTCTGTATGTCGTGTCGTCGCACCCTTCGAACCTTGTGAACAACGTTAAAGGACCAGGATCATGGGTGGAGGCAGAGAGTAAGCGGGGGAAACAATGCTTCAAGAAGCTGGCTCCTAGCAGCGGCCTAGTAGGGGCATAGACCTCGAGTGTCAACAAGGCCTATATATTAGTGTTTTGGCTGGCACCTTGCCGAGTTGTCTTGTTTTCTGGTTGGACAGAATAAATCTCTTGACAGGGAGCTAGACCTACTCTCCTAGGTTCTTGTACTTTCTTGTAGGAAGAACGTTACCGTAAGAATACCAGAGTTTTTCCCGAACGATTGATTGATGCAATATTTCTGGGTTAGCCAGCTACTTCGCGGAGTGCTGTGTTGGGGAAGTCAACGCGGTTTTCCAAAAAAGCACCTCATATTCTAACATCCCTCGGTGCCATGCGTCACCGTGTCACGTAAGGCGCCACGTGTGTCACGTAACAGTATCGGTGAAGAGCTCATCGGCATCACAGTGGCATCATTTCATTCATCACTCACGATATTGTGGCTGCGGAGGAGATGCGATTGTTGACGATGAAGATCGACTTGGCGTCCTTCAGCTTGATGGACTCCAAGTAAGTGCCACTCAAATAATTCCTCCTGTGTGCATGCGAGACACGTTTTAACGCTTCAGGACATCCGCCCGAACAAGTCACCATCGCCCAACAACATATTGAGCATGAGCTACTCACAAAATCATGCAACTGGCTAGAGCAGAAAGAGGCTAATCCTTTCCACCCTCCGCCTGATCTGGAGATGACCACGGCACAGAGATCAAACGAGGCACTACCCAGTAGAGAACTACAGGGGATGTATTGTAAAATGTAAGTTACCTATACAGATGTTTTTTGTACTTAGCGCCAGCTGGCATCACTGATATAAATCATCAGTGTAAAGACTTAAAAAGACTCGAAATAAGCCCAGTACCCAGCCGGTTTTCCTCCACTCACTGAAAAGAATCCACCACATCCCGTTCGACTGTGGGTATATCTCGAATGGGTAGTCTTTCTGTGTGTGTATTTATTATTCCTTAATTTACGGACAATGCCATGACATTTCGACTCATGTGACGATGCCCACAGTGCACCGTTCCCTGCAACGGCAGCAAAGAAAGTGCGACCAACCATATGCATAGTACAACAAGCGCATGCGATAGAGAATATCCACAGCTCTTTGAGCATGTTCCTGTGTCAAGCCAGTGTCAAGCAAGCCATGTGACGCCCTTACCAGAAAACGATCCCATCGGAAAGTCCGTCTGAGCCTTCCACATCTGGTAAGTCAGATCCCACATCTGACAAGGGCGGGCGGGGAGCACATACATACGTTAGTACGTGTGACGCAAGCGTCATCTATCTCATGAGACAACACATGGGCATGCACATACCCACGCAAAAATATACCTTGGCTCGTTTGTGCCCGTGGAGCAAACAGAACAGAGGTACGTGTTTGTTGCGTGCATAACAGCAGCTCGTCATTTCTAAAAGGCAGGTGTGTAGATGTGAACACTGTTTGAGAGCCGATCTCTCTGTTTACGAGGAGTCTGCGTTGACCCTAAAACACCACAAGACGCAGGGCACACGTTTCTCTTCTCTTCTTCTTGTCTGTTGGGGTCGGAAAAATATGTCAACCAGAGACGTCACTTTCGTTTCAAACCGGCATCGCAGAGGGATCGTGTGATTTCCTGAAGAAAAAAAAAAACAGTGTACGGGATCGCGCGGGGCACTGTTGTACCCTCCCAGAGATGAGAATGGCTCTTCGGGTTTGACATCTTATTATATGCCGCGTCCAACGTACAAGCGAACAGAAGAGAAGAGAAAAGCGTGAGCCCTGCGTCTTGTGGTGTTTTCGAGTCGACACAGACTGCTCGGAAAACAGCGACGAACGCTTCAACAGTCTTCAGATCAAGCCACCTATAGACAAGCAACACAGCGGGATCGTACGGACGCACTGCCGCTCTGGTACCATTCTTCAGAGGACACGACGCCTGCTGCACCGAAAACGACGACCGACAAGCTTTTGCCCTGCCAAAGGGTGCTTCTACCAGTGGTACGCAGAAACAAGGACGAGACTTGTTTCGAACCTTCCGCGAATGCTTCTTCTGCTGTGCCCACCAGATACGCACCAACTAGGGCCCTACATCAACGACGCCCCCGGCATGAACTCAATCACGATCGACAGACAGACAGTACTCACAGGTAAAAATGTTGTAGCGGTAGGACTTGTTCAG